TCATTTCCTGCTCGGACATCAGCTGAGTGGTTGAGACAGCATGGACTTAAAGGTAACCCATGAATGATTTAAAAATTTTTATACCATCAGGGAGTTTTCCAACTGAGTGTTGAGAAAAAACAAGGTAAATCACAATTATAGTCCTTTGGAGATTGAAAAAAAAAATATTCAGAAGTTTGATAACTCAAAGAAAATAGTTCTCTTAAAACTAGTTTAGGTGATCTATTGATTGTGTCAATTGACTGTATATTAACTATTTTCCTTACTTTACAGCCAAGGGGCTCAACCTTTATCAAGTGCTAGCTCCTAATTCTTTTTCATATGTGGATGGGTACATTTCTGCCATCAATAGAAATGTGCATTCTCTAGTTTATGAGAGGGTATGTCCTTTTAAAGACTTTTGCATCTTTTAAGATTAAAAAATAATGAGAAATACTTAATTTTCCTTTTGCTTTTGAGTGCATTAATTGAACCAATTGCAAACCCTTTGTAACTCTTTGGAACCTCATTAAATCCCCTTTGAAAACCTGGCCTTTGATAACTTATTACAGTGCATTGACCATCTGGTATGTTTGTATCGAAATGGGGCACAACCCACATTGCAACGTTCTACAAGACCTTTTTTTCACTGAAGCGGTTTATGTCTGGCACCTTTTCTTTTTTATTCTTTTCTTGTGTTGTAGGATGAGTATAAAATGCACCCAAAAAAAATTATACACTTCCCGGGAATTTTAAGGTCAATATGTTTCTTACTCATTATACAGAGTATGGCCCAGTTTAAATGGCATGATGGATCTGTGAAGAACGTGCATGTCGATCCAACCTTGCTTTTTGATTATCAGGTGTGTTGATGCTTTTGTTACACTTCCATCCGTTATTTTTGCAATATAGAGCAAAAGTCCCAAATCAAATATTTGGGGTTTTTTATTGATGAACATTTAAAATGGGATGCTCAGCTCCAGCATATCAACAATAAAATAGCAAAAAATATCGCAATTCTATTTAAGCTTAGACATTATGTACCTGTGAGTACGCTCAAACAACTGTACTAAACTCTCGTTGTGATATCCATATCTATCATATGGGTTGATATGCTGGGGAACTGCATACCAAACCAGGTTAAATAAAATCAAAATGAGTCAAAACAACTGTATCTGCAGCATCTTATTTGCTAGCAAAAAAAAAAGTCCTACACCATATTTTACACTATTAGAAATCTTAAAGTTAGCAAATATTTTTAAATTAAAAATTGGCTCTCTTGTGCTTAAAATTCAATATCAAAAAAAGAATATACCTCCGGTCCTTTATGATCTAGCTCAACCGGCTTCAGCTGTCCATAAATACTATACTAGGTATGCCACTAATCAAAACTTGTATAAACCATTTTCTAGAACCAATTATGGTCTAGCAAGATTTAGCGTAGTGGCATCACGGACCTGGCAAACCATACCAATTAAAATAAAGTGTCTCCCCGCCAAAAGCTTTAAAAAAGAATATAAACTCTTCCTACTTGGCAGGCAGACATCTTTATCAACTCTAATAAATCATTTAGCTCTATTTTAATATTTTAACCATATAGTGTATATGCTATCTCCATTAGTATTCAACCTCCACCCATCTGAATCTGCTCTATGGTAGAAGCCAACTCGAAAGATTGGCTCCTTTGGCTACTACACACTCTTTCCACTGCTTTGTGTAATTTCATGTATAGTTAGAACTCTCTTTTTTTTTCTTAATCTTTTTCTTTCTTAATCTTTTTCTTTCTTGCTGTTGTATTTTTTTAGTAGATAAGTGTGAATGAAGTTCTGAAGTTCCCATTTTTTTTTGTTATGCCCAATTTTCCGTTGGTCTAGAGGGTACCGTGGTACGACGTTCAGATTAATGCAGAAACTAGCAGATGTGATGAAAGATGCAGTAAAGGAAGAGAAAGAAATCTTTCCCTTTTTTTATTTATTTATTTTTTACAGCGTCACTTGGAATCTGCCGTTCACTTGTACAAAAGACGTGTTGATTGGCTGTCAGTTGGCTGCAGAAGAATATTTGGAACAGTTGTGGAAAAGAGGTAATTATTCAAAATGTCTGACTGGAGGGGAAGAGGGGCCTTGAGGGTGAACCTGACCTCCTTTTTGACCTGGGGCTGTAAAAAGTTTTTGCCTCAAACATTTTCTTCTCATTTTTTTGTAGGGTTATTGTGTTGTTGGACATGTCAATTTGTATGTCACCAGCTGTTCCCAAGCTGCAAGATCACCTCAGACTTTTGCTCGAACAACAAATGGCCAACAAGACCTCCTACAACTTTATCTGGTAATGGAATGTTTAAACCAAGATTGATTTTCACCGTAAATCATGGTGTTTTTTTACTTTAAGAAGAACGCTCTCATAAGATTGTAGTCCTGTCTGCAGAATTGAATACTGAATTATACTTACAAAGTTGGCTGGTGGTTCTCTTCCTTGGCATTTGGATTTTTTCTCAGAATTAGGGAAACCTTTTACGTTATGTATTTCTACCCCTGAAAAATCCACACTATCTAAAACGTAAACTAATGCGGTAGAGTATATTTTGTGCTAAAACGCTGTCTAACCCAAATGAATAAAAATGTTACGGTGTAGACATTATTTTGCAGTGCATTTTTCAAATGGCGTTTCCTGCTCATGTACTTTTTTGCCCGATGTGTTCATTTTAAAACTTTTGTTGAGGAGTATGGGGTAGGAAATGGGCTCGCTAGTTAGGGAGGTGGGGAGCGGGCTTATAAAAAATATTGTAGCCTTGGCAATTTGTCAAAAGTACGTAAAAAGTGATGCTTACTGTATTGCTTTATAAATTTTGTATTTTCTTTCAGTTTTGGTGATAAGACTGAAATGTTTCGCCCTGTTATGTTAGAACCATCTCCTGAGTATCTTGAAGCGACTTGGAAGTAAGTCTTTTTTATGTTAATTTATGTTAAAGATTTACCAAGAGTGCCAGTAAAAGAGACGTCGAAACCTCCTCTCCCCTCCCCCCTCCCTAAGAATTTGATACTCTTCTACCGAGCCACAGAGAACCCCGGATGCAACATCTAACATAAAACAGTTCATTTTATACTCGGAGATATTTACTACAGCAATAGCTGCATGAACAGGTTTTTGACAGCTGTAAGATTTCGTGTGATTGTGTGACTGTATGGATTTGATGAATGGACTATTTGGGCCAGAAAGAAAGGTGCCATTTAGCAAATGTCATCAGGCTGAGAAGAAGAAAAACGTCTTATTCCAATGGAACTAAAGTTACCAGTATCAAAGTTTATTTTTGTCAACTGATGGAATCATTTCACCTGTAGGTGGCTGCTTCAAAGGGGTTGTGGTGGAAGCAGAAACTTTTTGGATGCTTTTAGGAAAGCGGTGGAAAATGATGAAGAAAAAGCTCATGGTATTGGTGAGAAATAAAATTAGTGCTTAAAGTGAAAGTGTCACCACAGTCCAATTTGAGGTTGCGGAATTTCTCATAACGGATTTTTTTTTTTTTCAGAAGTTGAAGGGATTTATGTAATAACAAGTGGTGTTCCGGATGAACCAAAGGTAGGGAAGATTTTGATGTAATTGTAAAAACTACCAAATTGCCTAAAGTGCGGGAACGCGTGCGACTTAGTCGCCCGCGTCAAGGTTTTAGTTTTTGATTGGTTGAGAGGATGTTGCAAGTTTTCTTGACTTATCACAAAGCAAAATTTAGTGAAACCATTTCAATCCTGGATAACTTTCCTCACTGAATTGAAAACTGCATTACGCAGAACTTACGTTTACATAAATTGCAATTGGTACCCCTACAAATGCGTCCTTTACATAATATATAAAGCCAAAAGAACAGCAATACCCATTGCGACTCTCTTTTCGTATACTTATTCACCTCATGATAACCATTAGCGTGTGTCATCGAATACTTTGCTATACTAAGGCTTTGTAATTTTGTTTCTCTCTTCTCAGGAGGTAGTCTCTGGGTTCTTACGTGAAGCTCTAGCGGGCACCGACACAGGCGTGCATACTATTTACTATGAGGTGGACGATGAGGATGGCTTGATAGCAATACCGGGAAAGTACGCTGACAGAGGGAACACCGCTGAGTGCTTAAGACAGATGGCTCATGCTGTCAATGGCCGGTTCCACTGGTATAGGAGTGGAGGTGAATTAACCAACGCTTTTCTTAGTTCCTGTCTTTAGAATCACCAAGCCTAAGGAATTTCGGCCTTCCATTCTTTCCAATCTCATCCAGCCTTGGTATATTCACCCCAGTGCTTTCCATAATTTAGAGATTGAAATGATATCAAATTCTCATCCCATGAAGTACACACAGGTGAAACTGATTGATCTACTCACTCCTTAATTCTTTGTCGAAATCATCATGCCCTTTGTTTGGTTTATAAAAACTCGCGTCACGTCTCCCAACCAATCAGGTGAAAAACTTTATCTAATCGCCACTCGGTCAGACGCGTTTTCCCGCGCTTTATGACTTTAACAATTATTTGCTTCAGTGCGATTACGTTTGCTCTTTGTAATACCTACACTTTGCTGTTATTGGCCGTGCCAGTACTTTAGTCTTGGTTTGGTGACATGATTTTGGTTTTGTCATCACACAGAAGACCTGGTTATAAAATCTCAGCCTAGATGAAACTTGTTGAAAGTCTCAGCAAGTAAATGGCATTGAGCAAGATCTCAGCAAAGGTGCCGTCGATAGATTTTCAAGCTCAACAGTGATGTAATGGAGGATTTATAATGTTCATCTTTAATCTGTACTTTTTCACAGCAATTGTCGAGAGTGATGACCTAGGGGCTGTGTTAAACGAAATGGATAAAGCATTCAATTACTCTCAGAAAGTAAGTATTGTTCTATCTTGTTTTTCTCATTTTACTTCGCGATTAATTTCGAAATTACCCGGTATTTTTTGGTATATAATTTGGAAAAAATAACAGGTTTCTTTCATTTTTAAGTCTTCCTGTTCAAAAAATATCGTGCCAGCTTTTCCTCACCCAAACGTGTCAAGGTCAAAGATTGTAGATGACTTTAAAAAAAACATTTGTCAAAGAAATTGAAAACAGCTTCAGGGACAATTGTTCTCAAGCAAGTTTTACTAACAGGTGCCATAAATGTGGTTTCTTTTCCACAGGAAATAGCCAAAATTTGATCTTGAAAGGTACTCTTGTTGAAGGGGATTTGAAAAAATTGAGATGCATACGTTTTACTTAAAATTTAACTTGATTCATTGTCGAAAGATCTGAGGTAATATTAAGGTTGGACCTCTTTAGAATCTGGTGAGGTTACAATCTACTAGCACTGAATAGCCTGTTAAAAAACTGATCAAGAGTAAAACCTCTTTTCAGATTTCTATTCTCTTCGAAACAGTTCGAAAGAAAAAACCAGTGGCGCAAGTGGTATGTTTGTTCAACTTGATGTGGAATGACTTCAGTTATAATTATTATTAACCCTTTCTCTCTCAAAATCAATATTCCGCACTGTTTGCCATTCATTTCTTGCAATTTTTGCCCTGAGAATATTGTGTTAAATCAAACAATATCCCCTTGTTTGATATAATTTTTTCTTCTCGCAATTTTTTTGCTCAGTGAAAGTGTATTGATCTTGTAAGGAGAAATTTCATTTACGTCACACGCATGTGCGAAGAGGTTCAAATTCCTCAATTACAGGGGCCTTCCAAGAGGTTCTTAAGAGTTTGTTTATCTCTCTCTTTCTAATTTCTCTTTCAGATTGGCGACTCAATTGAAAGTGAAAATCAACAACTTGTTCCCAGGCCGCCATCTGCTGGCAAGTCACGATTACCGCTGACCCCACCAAGACATACTGCACTTACCAAGGCCCGAATGGTACGGTTTCTTGTTTAATCTCTCCCAAGATGGTCTTGTAAAAGACCTTTTATCATTTTAAAGTTGATGGTTTTTTCTGAGTGACAAAGACGTTGTTGAAAGAACGGAGCACAAGTGATTTAAGTGAGGTCATATCTGAATATTGAAAGGCCCTGACACAACTGTCAGTCTTTGAATACTGTAAAGGAGTCGTTAAACCATCAGACTTTCCCAGGAGTGTGTGGGCCTATTGATTCTCTTGCCACATAGAAACTGACACAGAATCCCTCGTTGTTATAATGTTGTTTTGGGAAGTGGGAGGTGCTCAGCCTGTATACGGCCACCCCTACCCTCCAAGAGAAAATCGGGAAGGTCCTCCTGATTTTCTTTTGGAGGGTAGGGTAGGGGCAGCTGTACACAGGCGAGGAGGTGGGTAGGGGCAGCTGTACACAGGCGAGGAGGTGCTGTGCAAGTCAAAGGTACTGTAAAGGGAACAAAACAAAATTGAAAGGATAGCCTGCCGTCGGGACATCAAAGTGGTCCCTGGAAAGTAGCTACCGCAAGTCTAGGTGAAGAACTGAAACTTTCATACCCCATTATAAACAACGCCTTCATTTCCAGCTTAAATTTGTAGGTTTTCTTTGTTAAAAAACGATTTGAGCTACACTTCCGATAAAACAACTAAACGGCGAAGGAATAAATGTTTAAATGTTTCCACGCACGTAACATGCAAATTTCTACCCTGACACGTCCTCAAAATAATTACAGAATTGCTTTCTTAGTAAATACTTTAAGACTAGTTGAAATCGCGGATAAGGTGTTGTTAGGGTATGTATACAGATTTATCGGAGGTATGTTAAACTTATTTTGTATGAATTTTTTTTTTTGGTTTGTTTTTGTTTAGAAGAAAAAGGGCGGCTGCGCTTTGCCTCCAATAAAAGCTACAAACGAAGATCTTGTAAGAACTTGAACGTTTTTAAGACTTAAGTGTCACCTTTCTTCTGTTTCTTTGTCGATGGTATTAAAAGCCCAATCCCAGGGAAAACAAGAAGCTTTAAAGTAATCTTGTGTATGAATTGATTAGATCTTAAAACGAAGAAACTAAAGTTTGATCCAGAAAGATAAAACCGTAGGTTGCTTATGACTGAAAAATATTAAATTTTAACCCAAGGAAAAAAACTCGATCAACCCTTAAAAACGACATGTCTTTCTTCCACGCACGTAACATGCAAATTTCTACCCTGACTTGTCCTCAAATTTTCTCCTTTCAAACACCTTAAGGGTTTCACGTAAAATTTCCGCCCAATGAAACCTTTAGTAGAGGTTTCTGGTCAACGTCCTTTGCACATGGGAACGTGATATTCTTCTTACCACAAGCCATAAACGTGATTGTGTCAGAGAACTCATGCATCACAAACTTAGTCGCATGAGTATTCCTGTTTTCAGAGTATTCGTCCCCAGACAGCGGGCTCCAGTCGGCCCAGTTCCTCAACTAGAGGTAAAAAGACCAGGCCACAAAGTGCATCATCTCAAACTAAGGAATCTACGTTGAAGGCTTTACAGTGGAAACCTCCCACAGTGAACAGTACTTCTTCTCTTATTCCTGCACGTGAGTGAAGGTTTTAGCCTTTAACATTCAGTAGTGATTCAGATGTAACTTTTTCCTATTATATCCATACATTATCGAGCATACAGGTAATAAAAAAAAAATCAACTTACAAGGTAGAAGTTTTTATCTTAATCTAACACCAATTTATCGTAACTTTTATGCAAGGAAATGTATAGCTTGTGATTAACTGAGGTGCAATTTGTTTTACGTTGCTTCTGATTGGTCGAGCGGATGACGTAAGTTTTTTTGGACGAATCACGGAGCAGACTAAAGCAAAACCCATGCAAAACTGGATTACTTATAGTTTTACGTAAAGCATCTGACGACTCCAAACATCGTAACGTATTGCCTGTACCTTTCGCTTGATAGAACCTCTTCCCTATCTCTCGTAGCTCCTCCAGCTAAAAATGTCGTCAAAGAGAGAAGACCATCTTCAGGAGGCGTTAAAGCGGTGCAGCAGGCCTTTTACACTGAATTTAAGAATGAAACAGGTTTGTTTTTTTTCTATATATGGTGTAGTTAATAAAATTGTTTCATAGATAACGAAGAGATATCACGTTGTCTTTACCCGGCTATTACTCATTACCAGGCTTAACCTTATTCTTAGGCCGTTTTGGCTCTTCATCCCCCCACCCCACCCCTGGAGCGTGAGAGAGCTCCAGCGGGGTAGAAGAAGAGAGAGTAGGCTTACGTGCGTCATCAAAAACTCGCCTCTTGCTTTTTACACACAGGTGCAGTTTTCACTCAGTATCCTTCTAAAAAGAAACTTAGACGGCCGATCAAGCATCCATTTATACCTGACAAAGAAGAAAGCGTTAGCACCAGAGAGGTAGAAATCCATATCTGTTGGTTTTTTTTTTTTGTAATTTTTTTTTTTATGCAAAGGCGACTTTGAGCAAAGGAAAGCGGTCATCGAGACAAGAAAGTCAAGTGCGACTTAGCAGGCCTTACTTCCACCCCCTAAGTAAGTGCGTCACTGATTTGATCTCCTCGCAGACCGGCTTATCTTACAAGCACCATGTCTTTCGGTCCTAACGTCAATCGAGAGCTTGTGCGCAGAATCGCGTTCACACAGAATTCTTAAGTATCTTTGCCTTAATTTTCAGTGGATGCGTCATTATAGCATCTCAAAGCTAAAGTTGGATCTTAATAACATTGTGGGAACCGCAGAATGTTCACACGCTAAAGGAAAAGTATCATCTTTGGGGCAGTCAGTAACTGCAAGGTAAGTAAAACAAGAGTGGCAGCAGAAAACTGTCAAAACTTCAACATTAGTTTGTTTTTTTCAGTTAACCTATAATTATATGATTCACTCATTTCTATTCGCGTGCGACTGATGAACCCCATGGGTGAGAAGTCGCGCGGGAGATACAGATGTAGTTCTCTTTACACCGTGGTTGACTTCTCCCGCGCCTCCTTCTCGCATTTTGGTCACCTGCTACGTAAGATATTGAAGCGTGGATAGTTATTGTGGGTCTGGAAAGGTGATCCTCAGGGACAATTCTAAAAAAGAAGCTATCGTACCAGGAACATCTTCTTTTGGAAAGTGTCCTCGGAAGTCATAATCTAGAAGTCATCTACACTGAATGTGGCGCTATATTAAAGTACTTGAACTTATCGTTTGTTTCCAATCATTTTTTAGATACTGCAGTATTTTCCCAAGTGTAGAAGTTAAGGTGATTTCTCTGTTTTTGTTTTGCACTCATGACCTACTATTGATATCCGGCCCACGTATAACTTTACTGCGATTCTCGTGTTTACTTACTTTTTTTGATTCAATTCCCGTCAAAGTTCAAGTTGTATGTTAGTGGGGAAAATCATGACGTTTTTTGTTTGCTTTTTGGTAGTTTGTCCTTCTATATTTCGTACCATTTTATCTTGTAATTTTTGTGAACAATTGTCAAATCACGCATTACTCGCAGTCAAAAAACACGAGCTTATGTTGTTATGGCACAGTACAGTTCTTCTTATAAACTCGCAATAAATAACAGGTTTTCAAAGGGCTAATAAAGGTGGGGCGCGAAGGGGGTGGGAGAGAAAAAGGAGTGGTATTGTTTTAACAGTATTCGTTTCAACTATCCAACTGAAACACCGTTCTTCAGTTTGTCTTGAGTCAAAGCATACAAGAGAATTATAAACCGTTCTTTCAATCTTTGTCGAGTCTAGTTGGAATATTCACCACCATAACTTCCAATCGTTAAAAAAGCTTTTTTTAGTTCACATACAAAAAAAAATGGTCATTCTTTGAAAGATTACAAAGAGGAAACAGTTTAACCTTAATCTGAATGTACTATGGCATTAATTTAGGAACAAATTGTTTAAAATTTTTCAGGGAGTTGTGAAACATCTCCATCTTCTACCGCACGAGCTAGAAGATTATGAGGATCAAGTGGAAAAGGTTTTAAGAAGATACGTGAAAAGACTACAGTGGTTACTGAGTGGTAATTTTAACTTTTCATATACTATCGTACGGACGACTGTTGTGAGTTCTGATCGGCTATCCCTTGTGTGGAACCTGTAATCCTAACAGCAGTTAATTGCATAAAAAGCTGCACCTGTCTTAGCGCCGAATGTAACACAAACAAGACAAGCAATGACACTACTAACGGTTTATTCTTTTTCGGAAACCCACACACGAGAAACACGATTCGTAAGGCTACTGAGCTGCGCATATTCGGCCTAACTCATGCCCAGGCCCCACGCTACACGAAGGCTAGTTCAAATTGGTGGATTAGGCGTACTGTCTCCTCAGACGTGTTAGTCGAAGTTAATTTGTTGGGTAGCCTGTTCTTAGCGTTTCATTAGTATTATTCAACTCCCAAAGAAAACTGAAGGTAAAGGACGGAAGGAGGATTTTCTCTGCTTTACTTTGCGTCACTTTATTACTGCTGCCCGTCACTGTTTATTGACTGAACTAGTGAAACAGCCTCGTGATATGTTGACCAATGAAACGAGCACTCTGTCATCGCTGCCTTCCTGTGTCTTAAAAGCGGTACGTCTTTTTCTGTCATCAGGTAGCAGACGTGTGTTTGGCACAGTGGTTGAGAAAAATGTAAGTACAGAGCACAGCGACCTAATTTTTTTCTAATTTATCCTATATTCCTTCATCCATATTTCATTACCCAGTGCCATCTCGTTTCTACCTTTGGATAAAAGACAGTATGGTCTCTTCTATTTGGTCGTCGGTCAATTTTAACGGACTCGTAGCCTCACGTTATTTTTTTGTGTGTGGTTACGTTATTTACGTTATGTTATTTATTTCTCAGGTCGTGGTGTTGATCGACACTTCAGGCTCCATGGTCAGCAGCATGGATGAACTGAAGCGAGAGGTGGCTGCGCTTGTCTGGGACCAAATTAGGCACCAGGCGACAAAGTATGTGAACAAAATTGACGATCGTGTACGCACGTAAAAAACAAACCCTCGAGCTGAATAGTTTTTTGACGGGTGTAGATTATACAGAGGTTAAGGAGGTGTTTTTCCAGGTTTAAATTTCTCTCGACGTGCATTTCTATAGTTGTCATTTATTTAACAATATGTTCCGCCTTCATCATAGGTTTAATCTTATCCGGTTTGCCTCTGAAGTGGTGTCATGGAAACCAAGCTTAATGTCAACGTCAGATGACAGCTGTCAAGATGCAGTTGAATGGGTTTCTGGTTTCGACGCTAATGGTAGCACGAGGACATTACAAGCCCTTCAGGTTTGATTGTTCATTTTAATAGTTTATCTTTTTTGTGTTACCCTTCTTGAAAGCAATGGTAAGCCGTTTGAATTTCGCCCTCTTTTCCGATAATTTATAATACTCGAGTTTTCTATAGAAGACTAAAACTACAACTGCTGGTATGAGACCTCTTGGTTTATGTGTGTGATTAAGCAAGTTCGCCGATTGGATCACACCATGGGAAGAGAATGGTGACTTTTAAGGACCTGGACAGGTGTTTTTTTTTTTTTTTTTTAATACTTATGTTCCACATTTCTCTTTCTTTCAGATGGCATTTGAGGATCCCGAAGTTCAAGGAATTTATCTCCTGACTGATGGAAAACCGGTTAGTACGGAACAACAGTGGTTTATCATGCCGGATAACTTAAGAGAAGTAACATGATGATGCCAGAATCGTCTTGTCTTCGAAGCGAGCAAAAATTCGTTTGAGCACTCTCGCTATATTTTGTTGTAGTTTCCAATGAAAAGTTCGACAAGTTAACAAGAGAAAGGATTTAACATTCCATATTTCAACAAGTTGTGTGCCATTGTGTTGTAGGATAACAGTACCACTATGGTATTAAGAGAGGTGGCAAAGTTGAATTCAGGAAGAAATGTGCGTGTTCACTGTATTTCATTCAATTGTGATGACAGGTGAGTAATAACCGTTCCTTTGCATTTGAATTTTCCCGTAAATTTTGTGAGAATCCTCTGGTGTGCTTACTTTTTTGTCGTATTTTCATTTTTCCATTTAGTGTGGCGAACAAGTTTCTTCAACTTCTGGCCTCTCAGGCAGGTGGAAGGTGAGTCTTCTTTAACAAGCGAGAACGACTGTAGTTGGTGCAGACTGCTGACCTGTCTCACCCGTTTCCTGTTTTGTAGATATCACCGTTGTCAAGGGGATCCGAATGGTCACATGTTCACTCACAGACTCCTCGCAGAAGGCTTTCATGAAGACGAGGTAAGCCACTTGTCGACTTGGGTCTTGAGCTAGTAGTTGTGATTAAAAATTATACCACTATATTTCGTACAGTAAAATCTTTTCGCACCGCAATCTCTCGTTTTTTTTTCGTTATCAACTCATGAAGAATGCATTTGTTTATCTAGCCTCTGAGCATGCCAGTATTTGAGGGAGATGACCTTCGCAGACTTGCAAGTGAAATTGCTCTTTGCAGGAAGTTCCTGTTACAGTCGAGATCATACAGGTAAACGCAAGTGGCTAGCAAATTAAATAATACGTATTCCTTCTTTGTTTAACAACTTTAATCTTCTACTTAAAACCACTCTGCTTTTGCTTCTAAGAACTTAAGATAGAAGAGCAAACTCTCAACGTCGCTTGATATCAGATGGTTTTTTCCCCTCTATATATTTATTTCAACTGAAGTAAACGACCTACCGCATTGTGGTGCTTATGTAAATGTTGTGGTTCGCTTATGTCTTTGCTTTGGGTACTTTCTTTTGGCGTTCACTTGCGTGGCTTACCCAAGTGTAACCTAGGCAATTTTAATCCGTGGTAATTTGGATATATCAACAAAGTTGAAGTGGTAAATTGGCCACCGTAACGATTACAAAAGCTGACGTTTCGAGCGTTAGCCCTTCGTCTGAACGAATAGAGGAATTGTGGGTTGTGTGTGCTTTTAAAGGCAGAGAATGGAGTTACGTTATTGGTGGGAACATGGCAACAAGAAAAACAAGAATAGGCAACATATGGCAATCTGCGGTCTTTACACTTAGGTAGCACGGAAAGCCGTAAAAATCTTGAACAAAAGCTCATCTTTCAAACCGGCAGTCTAAATCCCACAGGGATCAACGAACGCTTTTCATTCCATTAATTTATTCTTGTTTTTCTCGTTGCCATGTTCCCACCAATAACGTAGCTCCATTTTCTGCCTTTAAAAGCACACACAACCCACAATTCCTCTATTCGCTGCGACGAAGGGCTAACGCTCGAAACGTCAGCTTTTGAAATTGTTACGGTGGCCAATTTACCATTTCAACTTTGTTGATATATCCAAATTATTTTTTAAAAGAAAAATGGTTCTTAAGTGAGTATACCGCNAAGACGAATAAAGGCTGATAGTTTCGAAAGAAACTGTTTGGGGCTGCGTCGGTGGGGGTAACGAAATAATTTGGATATATCAACAAAGTTGAAATGGTAAATTGGCCACCGTAACGATTACAAAAGCTGACGTTTCGAGCGTTAGCCCTTCGTCGGAGCGAATAGAGGAATTGTGGGTTGTGTGTGCTTTTAAAGGCAGAAAATGGAGCTACGTTATTGGTGGGAACATGGCAACGAGAAAAACAAGAATAAATTAGTGGAATGAAAAGCGTTCGTTGATCCCTGTGGGATTTAGACTGCCGGTTTGAAAGATGAGCTTTTGTTCAAGATTTTTACGGCTTTCCGTGCTACCTAAGTGTAAGGAAAGACCGCAGATTGCCATATGTTGCTTAGAATGATTAGGTAAATTAAAATGTCTAGCGACTGGTTTCGATGTGTCCTTGTCATTCCTTTCCACGTCTCGAAGGTGTTCTCGGAATCGGTCACCTAGTCTTCTGCCTGTTTCGCCGATGTATATCTTTTTGCAATAAGTGCAAGTTATGCAATAGATTACATTGGCGGAGGTGCACGTGAAGTGATCGGTGATCTTAATGGATCGTTTAGGTCCCGATATTTTCTCAGTGTTGTGAATGAAAGGACACGTTTTGCATCGTGCACGAGCGCATTTAAAAGTGCCTGGTTGGTCATTAGTCTGAAAAGAACTTCTGACTAAAAAATTGCCTATGTTTTTGTCGCGTTTGAATGAAAAGCACACACAACCCACAATTCCTCTATTCGCTGCGACGAAGGGCTAACGCTCGAAACGTCAGCTTTTGTAATCATTGCGGTGGCTAATTTACCATTTCAACTTTGTTGATATATGCATATTATTTCGTTACTCCCACCGACGCAGCCCCAAACAGTTTCTTTCGAAACCATCAGCCTTTATTCATAGTCCCTGAATAGTTCGCCAGCATTTTCCAAGTGAAACACATCACAATAACCTCGATAGAGTTACAAAAACAAAGAGTTAGATTTCGACACGACGGTTTCGTTGCCGTCGCCGTTGTCGTTGCTAAAGCTCCCTAATGTCTTAGAAGCTCCATTCCGTTGTGGAATCCCTGGCTCATCAGAGGTGAGGGAGGTTGAATCCAGTTAATGGACACGAATGATGAAGGATCGCACTTTCTATCATTTTCTTGTCGCAGGACAATCGCTGACCCAACCAAGAAACTCCAGATCACAAGTAGAAGTGGCTGTAAGATAGTAGTATTAGTGAAACGAGCAGTTGTAGAGTATAAAAAGGACATTTGGAGTGTGTACGTACTGAAATATTTTATCGAGAAGATATCTTAAAGTATTTAGTCTGAACCCGAGGTGCAACACTTAATCGAGAAGTCTGATCGCGCGGATGAGTGTGGCCCCGAAAAGGACTGTTGCTACCAGTGTCTGACGTCTCTGCAGCCTCAGCGGATCACTCTCAAGTGCAGGGCGAGGTTAACTTTGAGGATGCAGTCCTCTCTATTCCCAACCGGAAAATCAGACTGCACGATCAACGAGCGGGTATACATGCTATATAGTCGTCTATAGGTGTGATATTGAGGTCAAATGTTCGAGAGGACCGTTGAAAGTGCTTAGTTACCTGAGCGACACATTCTGCATTTCTTAATTTATCTGAGGGCACCCGTTAGAACGCAGTCATTAATATTCGCTCTTTCACTTCCAAGAATGACTATAAAAGGGTTTTTCCCTTCATAGCTTCTTAATCACTAAAATTACTCATTATTTAAAGAAGAAAAACAGACTGTGGTCAAAGTCACTCATTCCAGAACGGACCCTGTCTGCTTCACGTCATTAAACGGATGAGCAGGAAAAAAACCAGGAACCCCTTTTTTAAGCTTGGTTATGTTGGTTACTATAAGCATAAAATTTCATTATATGAGTCTTTTCCGAGTGATTTGTGAATTCACCCTTTTCTCACCATGAGTGATAAGCATTGAAATTCTCCTAGCAGTATCGGCACTGAATCTTACCCAATGGTGACGTGAATAAGGGAAATGATCACCAACTAAAGAGGCTCTTGATTGATAGAAAAAAATTAGAGAACAATATGGAGAACTTGCATTCTGAACCTAGGGTGTGACGGGTTAGTGAAAAAGAATAATTGTGGTATTAGTCGACAATGTGACAGGTAGTGCAGAGTGGTTGAAAATGTGGCTGTATTGATTCTGTGGCGTATTTGTATGTAGCATGATGTGTAAATATTTTGTAAAGAAACATTTTTGGTGCTCTTGTAAAGATAGCGATTGCCCGAGACTTTAAAATGATTGGCCTTACAAAGCAAGACAATTTTGTCGCGTTTTGGCGAAACTGTACTAGGTGTAGGATTCTTTCCTACTAAACTTTTCCAGAATTAACAAGTAATAAATTCGATTTAAAAATATATTTATCTCTTGTTATTTGTGTGAATACCCGGCCGTCCATTACCTTTTCCAATTATTCAAAAGCGAATCGGGGTCGATATGATATACTCTCCCGAGATATAACAAAGGAATGGATGAAATGTCTGTTGGCTGTACATGTTATTACCATCTTCGTTTTTTGACTAACATTCCCAGGCGTAGCTTCGAACTCTCCGCCGATTTGTTCCCAGTCCTCTCTCGTACCTGTTCTTGGTGAGTCTGAGCTCTCATCAAGGCGGGCCCCGTGGTCACAGAAAACTTTCGAGCAAGTTGTCGCTTTATTGGGCATCATGGAAATAAGTTTCAAGGGAAAGCGTGCTTTAGTAACTGGTGCTGGAAAAGGTAGCATCTTCTTCTTCTTCTATTACAACGATAAGTAACATTTTCATGGTCTGAATGAGAAGGCCCGCGTACATTTGTTACTCAACCATTCATTAGTATAATGATTTTAAGAACGTCACGCAAATCGGCACAAAATGTCGCGTTAGATCTGAATAAAGTACTTCTGAAGGTAGAAATTAGAACGAAGTTTACAGGAACAATGTGAAGAAAACGTTGTTGTTTCTTTAATCGATAGGGATAGGTCGCAGTACTGCTAAGATGTTAGTTGAATGTGGGGCTGAGGTCATCGCTTTATCGCGAACCCAAGCTGACTTAGACAGCTTAAAGGAAGAGGTAAAGTAATAGCAAGGGGGTTCAAAAGAAGTGACGAGTGAGATTAAATCAAAACATATCACTGAAGTAATTACTTTGGTGAGCTCAGGATTCTCCCATTAAACACTATCATTGCTATTATTATTATTATCATTCTTGCTATGTTTTTGTATTATTATTATTATTATTATTATTATTATAATTATTCTATATACAAGGCTAAAAGGTTAGGAAAAAATTCTTAAAATGTTTAAACCAAACGTTTTTGGCTGTTTGCCATCATTACCCTGATGATGGCAAACAGCCGAAAACGTATACAATGAATATATATGAAGTTCATATATTTTGAACTGTGGTTGTAGATACGTATGATGCACGATCCTCGCAGTAGAGAGCGCTATTTATTTTTGCTATTGTATAACTAGCGCTCTCTACTGCGAGGATCTTGCATCATACGTATCTACAACCACAGTCCAAAATTTATGAGCTTCATATATTCATTGTATCTGATTTATCATCACGGGTTTATTATGAATCAACTTAACAGCCTGCTCCCAGTTGGCTTGTTAGCTCAACTGGTAGAGCGCTGCACTAGTATCGCAGAGATCAGTGGATCAAATCCCGTACAGGCCTGATTTTTTTCAGGTCTGATTTTTGCTATTGTATAACTAGCGCTCTCTACTGCGAGGATCTTGCATCATACGTATCTACAACCACAGTCCAAAATTTATGAACTTCGTATATTCATTGTATCTGATTTATCATCACGGGCTAATTATGAATCAACTTAACAGCCTGCTCCCAGTTGGCTTGTTAGCTCAAATTGGTAGAGTGCTGCACTAGTATCACAGAGGTCAGTGGTTTGAATCCTGTACAGGATTTTTTTCAGGTCTCATTTTTGCTATTGCATAAATAGCGCTCTCTACTGCGAGGATCGTGCATCATACGTAGCCGAAAACGTTTGGTTTAAACATTTTAATAATTTTTTTCCTACTATTTTAGCCTTGTATATGGACTATCTTTCATTAAGCAAACATTATGGACATTATTCTTATTATTATTATCATTTATAAAATGTGGGGAAAGGAAAGGGTATGTTGGAAACACACCTCGAGTTTATCAAACATGTTTCACAGACAGAATATTTCCAACTGTCCTTTCTGTGTTAAATTTCTACCAGTTGGTAAACTCAGTTTAGCTGGATAGTCAATTATTTGATGAAATATGAGGGCCCTACTGAAAACCGCCATGGCGAGTTGGGCTCCCTCATTAAATATTATTATTATTATTATTATTATTTTGAAATAAAAACATAACCATGTTGCAATAATGCCTTAAAACACCAGTGATGACTTTTGTTAGAATCCTTTTGCTCATTTGTGGTCACTCAAGGTCATTCCTGATCACTTAATTGTGTCACAGGAAAGTAACCTCTCAGAAATTTTAAAACACTCTATGATGCCCACCTAGTTACCAACAAGATGTAGTTCACTCTTTGCTTACTTAGGAAAGTTTAGAGTAACTCTGAAAAAGTTAGTCCTTCAAAATGTTAATCTAAATCAGTATGCCTTTCTATAAGCTAAATGCATCCTTTGGACACTTGTCCAGTGTTATAATTGCTTGCAAACTTGCAAAATGCAAATGAATAAAGGCTGATAGTTTCAAAAGAAACTGTTTGGGGCTGTGTCGGTGGGGGTAACAAAATAATTTGGATATATCAACAAAGTTGAAATGGTAAATTGGCCACCATAATGATTACAAAAGCTGACGTTTCGAGCGTTAGCCCTTCGTCAGAGCAAAATGCAGTTGGGCAGGTCTTCTCAGATAAATTCTAATTGAACATGAATTTAAAGAACAACACCTTTTACACTGGTAGTTATATTTTCCTCTTTCATTTAGGCACCAACAATCCAGACAGTTTGTATTGATTTGTCAGAGATTGAAGCTGCAGTAAAGAAAGTAGAGAGGCTTGGTGACATAGATCTATTAGTAAACAATGCAGGAATTGCATTATTGGATCCTTTTGAAGAAATCAAAATGGGAGATTTTGACAAGTATGTGTTCATGTGTTCAAGTATGTGTATAAAGATTCTGCAGTTTCTTTGGCTAACTGGAGAAAATTAAAACAAAATTTTGTCATTATGCCTTGATTTTTTCTCTCCCCCACTTTTAAAAAAATAGAAGCATTTGTTTGCTTATTTTTAACTAGTATGTATCACTGTTAACATTATTTTTCTTGCTTTTGCAATCTTAAGGATATTTTCAGTGAATGTAAAGGCACCTTTGTTCATCACACAGGTATAGTAACCATTATTGTAGCTTTAAGGCTGCTATATTAATAAAGTTTTGAAAAAAATTTGTTGTTTATTAGGCTGTTTCAAAAAAGATGATCGCCAAGGGAAGTGGAGGAGCAATAGTCAATGTTTCCAGTCAGGCTTCAGTGATAGCTTTGAAAGATCACACTCTGTACTGTAAGTTTAACTACTAGCTACTAACAGTCAGAAAAACCACAAAACATAATTTGCAGAATTAAATAATAAAGAGTAGGTTTAAAGTTAGGAGAAAATAACAACCTACCCCTTTTCCCCTTCTAAGGCACCCTTGCTAACTTGTACACATGACATAGACCTGTCCTTCAGTGAACTTCTACAGGCTTTGATATACACTGTTGCTTGTTAAGAGGATCATCATTCAAGAGATTGCATTTCTTCATGCAAACCCTGACTGGTGTTGTATCTGTTGTAGGTTCTACTAAGGCGGCTATGGATATGTTTACAAAATCAATGGCATTAGAATTGGGCCCTTATAAGGTAAGTGATGGTCAAGGATGGTTGTTATTATTGATATGAGGTAAAATTACCCGTACTTAGACTGAACAAAGCCTTTATGGACAGTTTGGGATTAATTCAAACCATTGACCAAATTGTGAAATGTGTGATAAATGAGTATCCTCAGAGAAGGTCAATTATTTGATCCTAGTTTTAAAAAAGAATTTAAGGTTTCCTTTTAAGTAACTAATATTTGTTCTTGTCAGCACTGCTTCAGTGCTTGTTGACCATTCCTGTGTCAGCATCCATTTGAAATTTCCCTTGAGCAATTGGAGGGCTCATTTCTAGGGAAGTCATCAGGTCTTATACTTACACTAAGCTGCAAACACTTCACGGTCAATTAAATAAAAGTTTGTTCATTTTGCCCAGATCAGAGTAAATGCTGTGAACCCCACTGTTGTGATGACAGATATGGGCAGGATAGGTTGGTCTGATCCTGCAAAGGCAAAGCCAATGCTAGAAACAATACCACTAGGAAGGTTTGCTGGTGAGGTGCATTCCACTGTTTAACCCAAGATTATAACAAACTTGACCGTTACTTTTCGTGTTCAGAGTGAATATTTAATGAGGCTTGTCAACAGATTAATATAGGCATGTGTGTAGATGGTGATGTGATAATTACACGTGCAAATGTGAGGTGCTAATTGTACAACATTTCACAGACAAAACACCATAAAGGATTGATTTCATTAAATTGTACAACAAAAGACTGATACAGTTTTCAGTCAGCTATATGATATGCTAAGAAGAAAGTAACAAACTCCTCTTTGTTACTTGAATGAAGAACTGCTGCCAAGTAACATTGTATTACAGAAACTAAACTGTAGGCACATTGAAAAAATTAAGGTATATGCTGCAGCTTAATTGGCTATTCATTATTGTGGTGAAGTATTTTAAAACACTCTTTCAAAGGTCACTTTTGGATTTGGGTTTCAATATACTTCTACTTAGAATTGTCATCAAAACTTCCGTGAAGAATGAATTAGGAAAAGTTTTCAAAAATCTTTTTTCATTCAAGTACTACATTTTTCTAGAACAATCTTAAATTTATGAAAATAAGCTTTCCAAAATTACTAACAACACCAAAATATGTTCTATTGCAGAAGTGGAGGATGTTGTTCATGCCATTCTTTATCTCTTAAGTGATAAAGCTGGTATGATTAATGGAACTATGTTGCCCATTGATGGAGGCCGTCTTGTTCAATAGATAGGCCAAACTGTACATTGGATACACCATATGCAAATTGTGCTCATTTTTATTTTCACTCAAATGTTATGAACAAAATGAAAAATTGTCATATTTACATATGTTATGGTAAAGGATAATTGTGTATATTTAGTAGTGGCAAATAAAATAAATGAAGGTTTTAAGTTATAATTTGCAATAATGATTTATGGTCCTGTTTACTCTTTGGCATCAGCAATGCCCCCGGATGTAACTGCAAATGTGGCTTCATTCTCTGGAAGGTCAGGGCTGTAAACAAAAGGGACATTTTGTTGGTAAAATGAATACCAGAACCCCCTTTTGGAGATGACACAATGATCTGTTCAATAATTTTAAATATTAATATGCCCCTAACTGAAGTTTGTGGGCCTATATTACTCAATACTGGTTAGTGTTGTGAAGTAGAAATTTAACTTTTAGGATGTAATTCTTGCAGATAACTAAATATTTATATTTAAAAATTATTGTAAATGTTACTCAAATCACATTATGATGGCTACCAAGAAAGCTCACTCAAGAAGTTTTTAACCTGTCATATATCTTAGCAATTCTTGTTTCTCCTCTTCCTTTCCTTAAGCTAATTCGAGTTGTAGAGGCATGTGCTAGTATATGTCCACCAATTGGCTTCTTGGGATCAGCTTGAAAGCTGAGAAATAACAAAATCTTGGTGAGTATTTCTTGCTTATCATATGATAGGAATTTTGACAACAAATAGTTAATTGATTCTTTCCCGTAATAGTTCAGTTTACCTCATTGTTGCTGTATTCAACAAGCCAGCCAGCCAAGGAGAAAAAAAGTATATACTGTGAGTAGGATAGAAAAGTAGGGAATGAAATAAAGACAATCAGTGTAAATTGCCCAAATACATACCTCCTGGATCTGCTGTCATCTGCAAGTAAAGAGTAATACAACATATCACTACACCTTTTCTCTATAAAATTAATCTCAATTATAGTAAGGCAGAAATCACTAATAAAACTGCCTTTGAAATTTGTCAAAAATTAGAATGATACAGCCAGTGTGACTGATCAGTGGACCATGTTAATGGAGATCTACCTATGATTAAGTACACATGCACTGTACCTGATTAGTGATAAAAATTGCAACATTAAATTCTGTGAAATAGAGAAAAAGACGATTTAGCATCGAAGTAATTAAACACTGTTCATTAATTTTTGAGATATAAAGAAACATAGTTATTTACTCTTGTCTAAAAGAGAATATGTTTGTTGAGCATGCATGTGAACATGTTCCACAAAGGGGCCAATTAATGGTTTTAGTTATGTTTAATTCTTGAACAGTAGATGTGAATGCAAAATGCTTACTTGTACATAAGCTATTTATAATGGGAATGTAATCATAAACATAATTCTCACCCTCAGACAGTTTTTGCAGACGTGATAACATCTGTGCAAGTTTTTGTTGCCTGTCAGCCAATTCACCTCTTCCACAAAAATCAACTCTAAATAATGCCATTATAGAGTCAATTATCTGAAAGAAGTGATGTACAAAAAATTGCTAGAACACTACCAGTGAAATTTTGCCCTTTGACTGAAAATGTTTGAGGAACTATTTTTCGAATTATTGTAATAACCTGATTTTCAAGAAATTGTAATTTCCAATTCAGTCATACCAAAAGTTTGAATACTCCTGGTTCCTCATGAAACTTTGCAGCCACACTATCCATCAACTCGTACTGGTGTTCACCTATGAGTGTTAACAGTAATAATAAATATTATATTTGGTAGTATTCATCTTTTAAAGATGGAATTGTTATGAAAAGGATTATAAAAATCAGCTAATAGTACAATAAATGTGTTAAAGTTATTTTAATTATTACTTTAAGTTAAAATCCATACAGTAGCAACTAAGTCTTACTTGTGTATGCCCTGCAATAGAGGACATTGTCCAGCATTGCATTCTGGTCAAGGTTAAACCGGTCTGCAATCTCTCGCAGGCGATCAGGTCGGCTATTAATGATTAAGGAGCTATTGTGATGTTGCTGATCTATTGTTTTAAAAATATATGGAATGGCCCAAAAATGCAATATTTTACATTAAGCCTGTGATAGTTCATTACATGTTTATATTAATGTCAACTTTAGAAAGAACACTTATAAGGATACAATGTGTTCTACAAAAAGAACAAACAAAGTGGGTAAATTAGCAAGTTCATATTTAATAATATTTATGTGACACTCTCCACAACTTAAGCAGAAAGTAGCCTGTAATGACTGCATTTGAGCAATACCTCCAACACGGTTGTAAAAAAATTGCATTCTAGTGAACTTTCACGGAAACATTTTTGAAACAATTATGGCTATATAGTTCACAATTCAATGACATAATGTTTACAAAGACATAAATTATATTGATGGATTTGTTCTGTAAGAAGTACCTCAGTATCAATGAAAATCACTTTTCCACCAGTGTATCCATTTGCTCCTGGCAACTGTGCTGAAACTAATGGTATTGCATTTAACAATAATGAGTTCATTTTCATCCAAAGAGAAAGAAGCTCAGTCTAAGAATAATTTTAAAACTTACCACAGAGTGTGTGTGACAGTTGAGTTTTTCCAGTCCTGAATTCTATTTGATTAAAAAAACAAGAAAAAGATTGTTCTCATTTTTATTAAACAAAGGTCTTTAAGTTATAACTTGTGACAAGATCTTGTGACAGGTTATGTGAGGTATAATAAACACATGGCAATGATTATAACGTAACCAGAGATTGAAGGGCTGAAGACAGTTTGTTCATGCTTTTATATATATGTAGCTTTAGAACAGTTAGAGACTACCACTGTATTACTAGTGGGTTACTTTACCTCCAAAAACCTCTGTTATTGACATGCTCTCTATTCCTCCTAAAATTGTGAGACTCAAAAGTTTAAAATAAAGCAAATATATGCCTTGGAGAAAAGTCTAAGTAATATTTTCAAATATTAGTTTTAAAAAAGTACTGCTGAAACAGACAGACACATACCTCCAAGGAGTTTGCTGTAGAAAGACAAAATATTGTAAAAACGTTTCGTCAGTACTAGTTGAGATAGAGAATATATTTCATTTTGAATTTACATACTCTAGCTCGGTGCTTCCACTAGAAATCCTGAAAACCATCTTCCTCATATCACTGTATTCTAAAGCTGTGACAAATCCAGCATTCTATGAGAGAAAGAGTGAAATTGTTGTAAAGAAGATCAATATTAAGGATCAAGTACATCCTTTTAAGAATCACAGTTTAAAGGAAATACTTACAGCTAACTTAGCGGCAGCTTCCTGAAAGAAAACAAAGTTAAAAATGATGCAAACTGTTTTAATATTAACTAATTATCGCTGTAGTGGTTGGATTCATTTCGAAAAGGATGAAAAGAAAATCTATGAAGTATCTTTCTTTATTGACTTCAAAATAATATAAAGCAGCTTTTTAAAGAAAGGTAATTCTGATAAAAAAAAAAGAAAAGCTTGGCAGTCCTAATGATGTCAGCAAAACACTGCATAATATAATTTCACCTTTATTTTCTCCATTTTTGCCTCTGATATCCCTTTTATCTGGCACATCTTTCGCCTTGTAGTCATCTGCACTCCCTGTAAATATCATCAAGTAATCACGCATCCCGATCAATTTTGCAAATCGCCGCAATAAAGAGATAACGATCCCTTCTCTAAGCTCAACGATGGCTCTTCATACGATGTTTGCACGTTGGAAAAACCCATTTTTGAAGAATACCTACAAATTTGTTAGCTACGATTTCATAAATAGTTTGAGCTCAGCACTTTTCATTTGAACACATACCTTTATGGTGCATATTCCCGCTGACTTAAGCTTTTTTATATCAGCAACATTCTGAAAAAAATATTCAACCGAGAATTCTGAGTTAGAAGACGGTACAGAGGAGCTTATTTGAACTAAAAAAAGGTGACAGTTCACGTTTTATTCTTCAAGTGCACACTCACAATTCCGTGGTTCTGTAAAAGGTCGATATCCTGATAAAATGACTCCTAAAGTGTTGAGAAAAAAAAGTTGAGTAAGAGGAAGAAAATAATCAGAAATATGCATTTTAACATTTCAAATTTAAGTTCAATTCCTCTGGAATTAAAGCTTTCTTTTGTTCAGCTGATTAGTTACATTGTATCAATAACTTATGCTATATTTTAAAACACACACGATACTTGAATTTTTAAATTGAACTTAAAGCCTTAATATCAGTTTTCTTACCTCTTCCTGGTCGCTCAATTCTTCTTCCACTACTTGATCGTGACTAGCGGTAATTTCCATCATATTTAAGGGATTTCGGTGTTATTTAGCTTCGTAAACTTGTGGAAAATATGAGATGCCCACACTCTGTTTGCTCTGTATTATTTTGGACGTGATTGGTTTTCTGTGAGTAAGAATTTGTTAGCATCTTTTCAAGAAATTCTAAGAGAAATTTTACTAACATAATAAATTTTTGTAATATAACCAAAAACTACTCTGTCGCATTGAATTACCTTTTGAAGAAGAAAATAACACCCAACAGTGGGTTAATTTCACACTTGCCTAGAGAAAAGAAGCTGTTTAGTTGAATTTGAAGTGAAATGAAACTATGCGGTTTTCCCGCGCAAAGTGAGCGATACGCGGGCAAATTTTTCCCGCCACTTACTCACTATAGCTGAGGACATTTCAGGAATGTCTTAAACCAATCTGTTCACTAAAAAGAATGAGAAATTCACTTTACTCCTTCTGTTGATTCGAGGAAACAATACAATGCAATAATACAATACAAAGATTTTATTTAAACACGATAATTGTTAAAGCGACTACACGCTTGTGGGGTCGTGCGTAAAATGGAACAAAATGAAATGTAGTAAAATAAAATAATTAAAGTAGCCTATCAAAATTAGAAGATCTAAAAATATTTAAAATTGGGATCCTTAAAGTTCACTGTCTGTGGAGAAATAGAATTAAAGTTCAAATTTAAAAGTGCCTTTGATTTGTAGGCTAACGAGGAGAGCTGCTTAATGGTTATATTTCTTAAAAATCTTTGTTCAGTAAAACTTTCTTTGTTGAGTAAAGTCTTATATTTCTTAAAAATCTTTCTTGAGTCGAAATCTTTGTTCAAACACGGTGATGTAATCATATTAAGTTCTTCAATCGAATCCAACCGTAAGTAGCTGTTCATAAAGAAAGAAAACGGTAGGTAAAAGCAACAGTTCTCTAATTGAGAACCTTTCTACAGGTGTAAACGCGCGCGCATTGAAAGATGGCGAGTGGGTCCATCTTTTTTAACTAGGAAAAACTCGTCACGAATGAGTTAAACCATGAAACTTAGGTTCCTTTCGATCTATCATCTAAAGCCATAATTTTCTTCCAAATGATGGCTGTTTTCTATCAATTTCTTTTCTTTTTGTTTGGTGGTTAAGGCCTAAAATTACTAACACCGTAAATCCTCTATGCCCCGGCGGCCCTATTTATTTCAGGTACTTTGGGGTGGCTAATTAGACGGGGGGGGGGGTGCTTATTAATTTAGAACTCAATATTATAATCTAACTCTCTCAATGGACCTTGTTTAGCCATGTTATATTTTTAGTATCGCTCTGTAACTTTCGTATACCGTATTCTATTGATGCCAACATGATAACATCAATCAGTCAATCACCATAATGAATTTTAAAAGACAAACTAAAATTGCAGTACTTGAATAAATTTATCGTACTTATTGACATGGAGTGTTCCTCTGAATTTTTGTGTTTTTAGGGGGGAGAGGTGGGGGCTAATTACAAGAGGGTGGCTTCTTGGAGGGAGGGGGGGGTTACTAGAGGATTTACGGTAAGTGACTTTAATGTTCCATTAAAAATATCACCATCTCGTCATCACGGCCAAACCTCACGCGTGTACCAAAATTTTTACATTCCTTTCAAACAATTGGAAGGCAGTTTTGCGCGTCGCAAAAAAAAAAACATCCAAAAACATCATATCAGACAACTCATAGTGCACAGGTTTATTTCCATCTTTAATAATCAACATATCTCTTATCATTAAATAACTTGCATTCTTTTGTTTATCTGTATTACCTGTGTTAAACAATTAAGACCCTATACTCTTAACGTAGACTTTTAAATTTCATATCTTGACAACCTCTCTCTCCTGTTTCAATCTGAACTTGGCAACTATCCTTGAATGCACTTGTAGTATTGTTCCACCAGGTTACTGATGTGAGCAAAAGCAGTTCTTAAACCAACCTTCAAGAGACCTGAGAAAATACGAAAAGCACAATTTAAAAAAAGTGTTTCATTCCAGCGCATTTTTCTACTAGTGGTACTTGCTTAGCACGTGCAATTCTAAAAGAAAACTAGGTCGAGTGCACAAAGGCTTGGAGACAAATCATTGCGAAACGCAAAACTCGTCTTTTTCATTAAGTCCCATAACATAATACGACCGCTTTTCTTGAAGAAAATAATTGGAATAAAAGAAAAGCTATACAGGAAAAGTTACACGAGGAGAGGAAAAATTTCGTTCGATTTTGTTCCACCAAACACACAGGATAGTTACGCAAAACCTGTATCACCTTTACACACAATGTACATTTGCTTTGACACTTTACCAAGCCCGTCACTCGCTCACTAAAAGCATGGGAAATACCAAGGGAATTTGTTATGATACCACGAAGAAAAGGGTTGCGTAACGTCATATGCATCTGCTTTGGCATTTGGTTCAACAAATCAAAACCATAACTCAGAGGTGCAGTATCTACATCTGATCTATTAATTGAAATATGGTCAGTGTTTACCTGATTTGTAGCTTCCTTCCAGCATAGTCTGCAGCGAGTCTCGGACGTCAATTTGAACCAGTATTGCTGCATTTGTGTGCAATGAAGAATCTGGAAAGAACAAACAAAGCATCTCTTTTTAGCTCCTGCCTTGACGATGTTTAGTCGAGTTCACCATATTTAACCCTTGTTAAATCTAAACCATTCCAAACCATCCTAAGAACTCTTTAAGGTGGCCAAGTTACATCATCGACTCAGTTGATAAAACCAAATTATCTTGTAATACCCCCCACCGAGGCCCACACCACCACAGTTTCTTCAGATAATTATCCCCTTTATTTATCTTTGTTAACGTTCAATGCCTCAAGCTCCTTGTTATGTGTTCAGCTTTGTAGACTATCACTTATGGCGCTTTTCAATTAAGCGTCGTAAAACCAAAACAGAGAAATTACGGCTAATCAGAACGAAGGAGTTGTATACATATGGAGCCAGTGAAACTAAACTATGGATAAAAACAAGCAAACTGACTGAATGTCAGCAACAGAGCTAACCATACGATAAAACTAATTTCGCTTATATAATCCATTTAAATTGATATTAGAGATGAAATCTTTCGCCAAGACGTAACGCTGAGGATGTGAAGTCGTCGACTATGTTCTCCATTGGACAGACAATCTTGGAGACTATTCGGTGATCTTTGTTGTCTTTTATGATCTACTAGGAATTAAACTATTCACGCCTTTTCATGTTTTCATAGACAGAAAAATCACCAACGAAATTTTATCCTAAACAAACGCGAGGGGGTGGGGGGAGGGGGGAGGGAAGAGGGAAAGGGTTTTGACAAACGTTTCCCACCTGACACCAAACGACATTGAAATTTTAGTACGACGATGAGCTAGACAATAGGGTGTAAGTTTACGACGAACAGTTAATGATAAATTGATAAGCTTTCACTGCTCGTAGGATGTCTTTCACCTCACAGCTTTTCTGTTGTTGGCGGGCTGCAGAGTAGCGTGTGGATTTCCTAAATGAGAGTTTGTTTACACAGGACTTTAAGAAACGATGATCTGATGATTATACAATAATCAAGTTTCGTGTGGCAGATTTTGTTTCCGCTTAAGATAATATCTTCTTCGGGTTGATTCTAATTATAGTTAAGAATAATTCATTTATTTTGCGGCTACGAAAAGCGCGAGCTCACGGATCGTGTAACCTATGCTCAGAATAGACCAGAACACCTATTGCTCCTCTCTAAATTTACAGTGAAAACCTGGTGGGCGTGTATCCAACAATGTACGTAACAATTAACGGCAAGCACAATATCACTCACTGTTTGAACGCGACAAGGAAGCTATTAGCAAAACAGGAATAGTTCATTCGTCGCCGATGATAAATTCTCGTACCTGATGAAGTGTGAGGTGATAACATAAATCCAGACAGGTCGGCAAGTACTCTTGTGAACCCCTGCCCAGAAAGAGACATATTAGCGCGTTGGCACATTATCGGCACGTCCTCACTCCGTAAATTAAAAAGTAAGTTGATCCATTATCACGCAATCATGTATAAATCCTATTATCGAATTCTTCAACAATTCCTGATATTGAAGGGCCACCGCGAAGTTTGTGTACTTACTTCGAATCACCAGCAATTTAAAACTAGTTACTACACATGTACGAAACTTCTTCAAATGAAACAATCGTATTAGAGGAGCTAGAGAAATTTCCAGCCAAGCTTTGCGCATACCGATCGGAGAAGATTGTAAGAGATTTTCTGCTCTTGTGCCCCCCTTTTTTTTTCCAAGCAAGATTTGATTTATTTTGGCGACAGTTCAAGCAGTTCTATCGCCCTTCAAAAACAATTTCCCGTCAGATTTAAAAAAAAATTTTAGATGGCAGGTTTGTTAAACGAGGCAGACAGGAAATTGCTGCTCGAAGCCAAAAGATAAGCTGTAAAACTAATATTGATAGACTGCCAAATAAACACTCGAAGGTCACCAAGAACACAGATGGACCCAAACACTTTTTTCTGTGAAGAAAAACACAAGTTACCCTCGAGTAAGTGTCCTTTAGTTTGATCAGAGTCCCTCTATTAACTCTGGTTTGATATGGTTTGTACTCACAAGATAAAAAAAGATAAAAAAATTATCGCAAACACTTTAAGTTTTGGTCTTTTGGAAAGTTACCGCGTTGAAATTCCGCTCAAAACCGAGCTCTGCTGAAAGACTAACCTGAACTTGCGGCATTTGGGAATGATGCGTTGACCATAACACCATTCCTACAAAATTAAATAAACAAGAAGCATATATTTTTATTACAATGTTTATGGTGTGTATCATGTGGTAATTCGTGGATTGTGATATCTGCTCCATTTTAGCAATGGATCCTACAAGGGTCCTACACCTGCCTGGTCTTGGAGGGGGGACGCCAGTTTGTCATAAAATTAAGATTTATCATTTTTTTGAGTAAAGGTTGACCTCCCTCTCCTTTATCTAGACCTCCGCATCGTTTGAGTGCGCAGTGAACGCAATATGTTTGAGAAAACGCTTTGTCGTGAACTAACGATAATATCGTTCAGATTTTAGTGGTTAGAGCGCATTTCGATTGAGAACGACCCATCAGGACAAGAGAAAAGCACGGAAAAAATCAAGAGACTCAGTCTCAGTCCTCTCATTGGTTTAAAGAGTAGCGTACTTTTTCTGAACCAATCCAAGTGCAAGAACGGTTTGACTTTTCGACTCTCAATTGAAAATTGCTCGGGAAAGAATAGTATCGGTCTGTGGCGTAGACTTGGTAAAGCTGTCAGACGAACTGGATGTACAACTTGCAATTGTTTCATTTTCCTTCGCTAAACCGGCACCATCATCGACAAATACCTGATGTTCCATTTCTAGTTAAGTATGATGGCATCCACATTCTTTGGAGACAAACATCTCTGGGGGAAGCACTTGGTAGAGGAACACTGTATTTATTGTATACGATGCAGGCGTGTGGAATAGACTCTGGTGTAACAATAACAACAAATCGTCAAGGGGAGGGAGGGAAGAGGATTCGGTGTTTCGGACAAGTGCACAATGAAGGGGTCTAGAACTTGGACATAGAGAAAAAAGTTGAAAAAAAAAAAAACACTTAAAAAAAAGCGAAAATTGTCCCACAACGAAAAGGTGGTATTCAAATAACGCCGTAAACAACAAAAACAAACTCTTCTTTCTAAAGACAATGAAAATAAGTAACTACGTCTATGGTCAGGTCACAACCTTCCATCTTTGCGAGTATATCTCGAGAAAAGGTGAATTGCGCTTGTGTAAGGTATTTCACAAGACTTAACTCGGTCTACACTTTCTCCGCACAATCTCCCTATCACCAATAAAGTGCAAAGACGAAAAAAACATTTCATATGTTTACTTACCCTCTATTTTTTGTAAAACTTCTTCCCCTCGAAAAGGTTGGTCTAACTGGAACAAAAATGGAATTGTAGAAACACGTTTGTCAGGATGATTCATTTTCGAGTCGGTGAAATCCCGGGGGTATGAAAACAGTTACCCTTAAATGCACTTTTACCATTTACTGTCCATTGTCGTCTTCATCTCGTAGGGAAAGAGAGAAAGACAGGTTATCATTCAAGCACAATTCAAAGAACCTTAGAGGTTCTCAGACTTGAAGAAACGAACAATTGTATGACAGACAGTAAAGAGAATTACTAATAAAAGAGATTTTGAGAGTGATACGGTTGAAAACTAGTATCAGCTTCAGTGTAAAGCATATTACTACGTAGCCAGATCTCTTAGGCTAGCTCCTTCAGCACTTTCTAACTTGTACAAATGCAACCTTAAAATCACACGTTTCTTACTTTGCCTCCCTTCTTCATTGCTAGCTGAAGGTAATCAAATGAAATGTCTGGAGGAACGGGGATGATACCTTCAATCTAAGGAGTGAAAATGATTAAAAAAGAGTAAAAAAGATGCAAATCCTGAGGTTGGTAAAAAAAAAAGAAAAACTACAGATGCCAAGAAGTTCTCTGTGAGTCATTGGGTACAACATATGACTGTGAAATCAAAACTAGCTGAGGTTTGAAATCCCACAAAGAACCAAGACTCTGATTTTTCAGTCACGTGCTTGTGGAGATGAGTTGTAATATTCTACAGTGCAGATGGCTTTTTGTGGGGAAAAGTGAACGTTGCCAAAGTTACAAGGTTGCGATCATTCTCTGAGTGTTCATGTTTAATCCAGGATAATTTGATTTTATTAGCTAAGTTGATAAATAAATTGGCCACTGTAAAGCTGACGTTTCAAGCATTAGCCCTCTGTTAGAGTGAACAGAATGAACAGATTGAAGGCTAAACGGTCTGGTTAGGGTTAGAGAAGATAAATTGGGGAGGAATCCCCTCTTCCCTGTTATCCAACCTTTTGTTAGAAACTTTTCTCTCTCCCAACTTCCCTTAACTTTAAAAAAGCCAAGATGGTGGATGCTGAATGCTCACTCATCACCTTTTTCTTTATCGAGTTACTAGATTGTTCACCTTCACAGCTGCCTTGTCATTATGTGAAAAGCTAAGTCGTGATACTGTTACTCCATTCTTGGTGTCAGTCTTTTTCCAATTCTCACTTTTGATGATTTGGCAGAGTCCTGCCCAACACTTTAAAAACACAACAAGAATGAAGAATGTTAAACAAAATAATCATATTGGAAGAAACTAAATCATTTTTTCTAAACGGGACTAAGACTTCTGGTCAGTAGTCTAACTCACTTAAATTTATGCAGAGCAGGAGTCTCATTGCTTTTTAAGGGCTTGTTTCATTCTGAAGACTCAAGATAACTAGAATCCAACCAACCAAATGTATGCCACCAAACTCCAGCAAGTCAATATCTGGCTGACCAAAATCCAGCCAAACAAAACAAAAAACTCTAGCCATCCAAACTGCAGCTAACCAGAATCCAGCCAACCAAGATGTGGCCAAGAAAAATCCAGTGGCTAAAATCTGGTGTACCACAATCTGTGGAACAAAATTTATGCTAACAACACTCTAGCTAACCAAAATTTGCCAAACCCCAATCATCAAATTCTGCCTAGCTCCAATCTGCCCACCAAAACCCATCCTAAACCCTATCCAAACCAAAATACTGTTTACTAACAAACATTTTTGTGCCTTCATCTAGAATTTACCTCCATCCTCTGAACAGGATCCAAACAAACTTCTTCCTTTGAATCATTCTCTTCTCGCCGGCTGCTAACTGCTTTTCTAGACTGTAAATTATAGACAGGATTACAATGCTACCCAGAAAAAGACAGCTGTGGGTGGGATTGAAACTTTTCAACAGGTAACTCTGTTGATGACTTCCCCCCAGTTTCTCTTTATGTCAGTCATGGACACTCACAATCAGTCCCTGTTACCCTTCTACTAATCCCCAAAATGCATACCCGTCTTGTCAGCCTCTGTCGCACACTTTTTTTCCTCTTTTCAAATTTATCCTGTGGTTCTGCTTGCAGAGATTCTGTTGCTGCATTGACTACTTCCATCCAGCTAAGCTTCTCATCCAAAGTTTCTAAAGTATGTAAAAAATTTTTAAGGGGACTGAAAAATGTTGTTTTAAATTTGTTTCTTGGGAAGTTTATATAAAAAACAGTATCAGTGTTAACCAGCAAACCCACCGCAGCTAATGTAGTAAGTTCTCTTAGCAAAATCATCGAACACTGGACCAAGAGCAAAGCAGTTTGCTTTCTTTTTTCTTTCTCCTTCTTCAAGTTCACGTGCAGCATCTGCAATATTATTAAGAAAACAAAATTAATGCACAGTCCTATCACTTCATTTGCATAATGTAGTGAGTGGAAAGGGTTGGTCATGAGTTAAAAATATGCAAGTTCTTTAGCTTTAGAAACCTGGTCACATCTGTTGAAAACCAACCATAGTGCTTTAAAAGTTGATATGTAACTACTGAACTTCACAACCTGAAGCAGAAAGAAAATATTGCAATCCCACATTGACAGTGACTGCATAGCAAGACCAACTGGAACACTTTATCACTAAAATTTTTCCTCTTCATCTGAGAGTTCCATTTGGTCAAATATGTGATTTTTTAACACTATATTCTCAGAGCTATATTGACAGAAAATATGATGTTGACAATAGGGGGATTAAAGAGATTTTGATACCTTGGGGATATATAAAAAGATTGGAAGTTTTAACTTTATTTAAAACATATACTTACAAGTGGAATCGAGCTCTACCCTTCCTGCTGGCTGGTTTGATGCAATGTCTTCCATTTTCCTGTAAAGAAGACCACAGTTTTATTCCTGTTTATACTGTTGACCCCCCCAATAACTAAAAATTTCAAGAGAATTGGAAAAAGTTCCAGTCATCAAAAGTTGACAGAAAAAAGAAAAAAACTTAATTTATTAATAATAATAATAATAATAATAATAATAATAATGACATTTATAGAGCACCCTTTCCCATGGGTCCAAAGGCACTATTTACAAAGTCACAATTCAAAAATAGTTTAAAATAATTAAAATTAGTTAGTTAAGATTATAAAACACCAAGATCATTTCATGAATTTAAAAAGCACGTATAAAAAGAGCAGTTTTAAGCTGCCTTTTAAAAATGTCAAGTGATCCAGCATCCCTAACATGCTGAGGAAGACTGTTCCAGAGAAGCGGAGACAGTATTGACAGTATTTCTAATCATACTAATATTGCACGTTTGAATTCCACTTAATTAGTGGAGAGAAGTTGAGTGAAAAAGAAACATTCTGCAAAAAGGTCGTAGATACATATTTATGGAATGCAACTAAGGGTACCCTTAACTAGTTTTGATTAAGATATTGAGGGTGTGAGGTATTCAGTGTTGATGCTAGTGGGTGATAGTTTGTTTATCAGTTTTGTAAAACATCTTTGAGAGGCAGGGGTGTCAAAAAACATGTTTTCAGTGCTAAAAATGTAGAGGAAAATTAAAATTGAGTGGGATTTCTATCAAATGGATACTTTCAGATATAGTTCACAGGCATGTGACTGCTGAAAATGGTGCAATAAAATATGGCATGTTATTGAAAACATTTTGTACATGTTATTCACAGTTACATCTCCATAAATTAATTCAACCGATAATGCAAATTAGGTTGACATTGAGCAGATCTTAACAGTTTGTTCAGGAAAAAAATTATTTATTTAGTAACTGCTTCTACTAATTGAAAGAATAATATTCTCCCATTACTTTTCAGGAAATGTACACCATTCCTGTCAGGGTTTTGAAGTTGGTCATGATTGATCACCCTTTTTTTTTTGGCAGGTGTTTGCAAAATAGGACATGATGTTAACTTCATGACATTCAGCAGAGCAAAACAGATCTTACCGCACTCAGTAGCAGTTTATTCAAATGTTTTCAGGGTATCCTTTAACGTTTTGATTAGAATCTTTAAAATTATCTCTTAACAGATTTCTCAAATGGTTCTTCCCACTGAATTTTTAGATTTCTTACAGGTTTTAAACAACTGCGGCCACCTTTATGAAATTTGGTAAATTATGCAAATTGAAGGGAAGATTGACAAAAAGAATACAGTCAGATAAAACATATTAAGATGTTTTAAGAATAATTACAAAAGCTGAAGTGTCCTATGGCTTGACTGTATTTACAGTTATGAAAAGAAACAGAAACTCATTTCAATCTTCAACCTCAGTATTCAATCACCAAGGTCATGATCTGTAGGTCATAAAGCTAAAAATGTAACCAAAAGTTTCCTTCTTTTTCAGTAATACATTGTATAACAACATCCTTACATATCTCCTCACAAAATTTTTAATAAACTGACTTGTCACAAATAAAATGCAAAATAGTGTTTGAAATATCTCCAGAAACTAAATAGAAAAATGAAAGAGAAAAATAAAAACAACAACAAAGGAAGGGAGTAGGCCAGCTAACAATAATCCTTTTACCTGTTGAACTTTTAAGAATTCAAGCAATTTTAGGCAGTAATAAGAAGTACTCCAGGCAGTAAATTTTATGGGTTATTGCATGAAATGAGAACACTGACTATTAGCTAGCAATGGTATAGATTCCCTCAGTACATTTTCATCAATATCATTCTGACAGCTTTTCTAAAAAGTCAAAGGTTATGTTGATAGGTTATGTTGTTAGGTTATGTTGATAGGTTAAAATTACACTTCCTTTAGTAAATCGAAACTCAATCTTTCTTTTTCCTAAAAATATGCGCTTTGCCTTAGCCAATATTTTAGTTTCATTTAGATTATATTCATGGATATAGAATTATATTGCAATACATATATGCAACTACTGAACGAAAAAATTTTAAGACAAGCCTTGTAACAAAAGACTTTTGGGATCGTTTCTCCAAGTGTATAATCAAATAATTCTACCAGATGTTTGGTAACAGAATATCACTGTATAAATATAAGCTCATTGATTACGGAGCCCGCTAATGCGATTGCTATCAAATCGCTCGGCCAACATCAGATCTGAAACTTCAGACGAGCCAAAATGTCTCGAGTCTTCCTTAAAAGCTGATAAACTTTTAGGTTTAGAATTCTCTCTCGCTGCACGAAATACCTGACAGCAGGTTCAAAAGCAGGGATATTTTCGTTTCGGTCATGATTTTTGGTAAATATTTATAACATTTTCGTGGCCGTGACTACTTAGGTAAAGCCTTTTAGTTAAATATTTATGGCTATTTACACGACAAACAACCAAACAGACTCAAGGTGCCAATTACAAAAAAACACGAAAACAACTATAACAATCACCTGTAATACGACCAAGAGGCTCCATTAGAACCTCTTACAAGCCGACACCATCGTTTGCGCCAGTTCGTCTGACCGAGGACAGCTTGTCCACTCTCCTTAACAACCCAGCCTTCCTTCACTACAAATTCCTCTTCCATAGAAGCGAACGTACAAAATATTAAGCCCAGACTGAAAACATTGGCGAGGCAGCCATTTTAAATGTTACCCATAATTCCTTTCCCGCCTGCATCACAAATTTGAGAACCTTTTCCGAAATTCAACACTTTGAAAAGGAGCTCGCCTGCTGCAGCATTGTCGCTCGCCTCCGGGGTTCAATCTGATAAAACAGCATGAAATAGAGAAACGAACCCCATACAGGGGACACCTATGTCCAGTGGAAGACTACATTTCCAAATAACGTTCACGTGATCCCCAGCTGCGAAATGCAAAAAGGAAATGATGGAAAAACCCTAAACAAACAGATAGAATGGGGAAAATATTTCCTTCGACAAATATTCACGCGAAAACGCTTTTCACATGATAGAAAATTTAAAAATAACCAAGGCTATAAAACACAAAAGAACAAGAATCAAAATGATAGAAAAAAAAGAAGATCGAAGTGTTTTCCGACTTTCTGCGACCGTAAAATCCACCAATAATAAAGTGAAAGACAATACGACTATTGTCTTTGGTGACCAGCCCCAGTCTGACCGCGCTTTATCAATACTCAGTCAGCAGTATCACGCATTTGGCTTGTGGACAAATTCGGCCTTTGGAATCCCAACCGCGTTCCTGTTAGCATGAGAAGAATCGTGGTTGGATTGAAAGGGTTTTAACGAGCAAATTCACCTCTCTTTCAGGTAAATTGAAAAATGCTTCGATACTTCATCGTGTAAAGCTTGGTTTTTTCGCATTATAGTGCCAAATGGAGGCGTTAATTTGCGCCTATATTGTAATTTTTGACAGATCGAGCCAGCTTTTAGAAACATGGCGACGTGAAGAATTTTCTGTGTGGTTTATCAAATGGTGTAATGATGACGAGGATCCAAACGTTTATGGCTTAAGTTTTAGCGGAAAAACTAGAAAATGAAAGCTAGCGGTGGTTGTAATCCAGGTGGTAAAGACAGAAAACGCAAGATTTGCGACCAGGTGACGGAACAAGAGAGGTAAACTAATCTTCGCACTATAAATAAACGACCATGTAGGTGACAGTGGAGTTATTCAGGTTCACACTGCATACTAAAGCACGCAATTATAGAATTCATTATTTTAGCAACTTATTTGTTCGTTTGACTGCAGTGAAACTTAAACTACTGAGGTGATCTTGGAAAATATCAGAAGCGAACTACCGAGTTCTTTTCTGATAGATTCCTGTATTTGATAGTAATCTTCTTAGAGTTCCGTTTTCGCCATGTTAAATCAACCAGCAATGCAAAGCTTTGTGCTGCAGAAACTAGCCGTCATTATTCAAGACGGAGATCAAGAAGATCAAGATTTTCGTTAACTTCACATCGATAATTTTCGGGTTTTTTTTACGCTGTCAAACATTTACACGCTCGGATGATTTGTTTTGTAGTCCATAGGATTATCAAAGACTTCGATCTTTTATTTTTTTGCAGTGGCATTTAATAAATGGTTTATCTTGTAGATATAATTCGTAATGTATAATTTATAACCCGGATAAAAATTAGTTAGCTCTAAGATGGTGTGAGGTGTAGTGGTGATGCAGCAAAAACACGGCAGAAAGATCAAAATTAAGATCAAAATTACAATGAAAGACACGCGAGAACTAGCCCTAATTTGATTGCGTTAAATGTTAGTTTATGGTATTTAAGAAAAAAGTTTGGAATATTATCGTCTGCCTTTAGGTGGTGTTCGATTGTAGCATGGTAAATGGGAGCAGCTGAACTAATCAAACTTTTGCATCGGCAAATATTTTCCCATTTACTTAAATCTTTGCTTTACTGCTGTTTACAGTGCGTTCATATTCCTTAAGATTCGAGTTTCAAAATATACTTTGAGCGACCAAGCCCACACGGCAACCAGCGTTAACGGTTTCTATAATTAAAGGCTCTTTGTAGTAAGTGTTCACTGCATGTAAGGAAGTATGCACTTACTCAAAGCGGAATAAACCCTTTGGCAGTACGTATGATGACTGCCTTAGCTTCCAGCATTTCCCGATCTTGTATTACCTTATTGATCGTCTCTTCGCACACCATAATTTCATTGATATTAAAAATCGTGACGATGGAGTTAAAAAAAAATATCTTCTTCACAACTTCTTCAATCGACTTGCACAGAGCTCTGTAAAACCAGTGTATGATGTTCTTGAAATTTCAATGCAAATGTTTAGTTCCTTTTGTGAACTGATGAAATATGTAAATATTCTGATAGAGTTTACTTTGCCATGTGTAACACCGATGTTAATGAGGTTTTTAACCCATTTCATGTGGACAATGTATGCATTTATTCTTTGAAATAGGAACTGAGTCTGCTATTTTATTCCAGTTTATCGTCCTGCAATTTTATTCTATTTAGAGTGATAATATGTTTATCTTAAATCTGTCTGCATTGAAAGGTATGGCAATGTTTATGACTGTCTGAGGAGCAAAGTACAACGTTGCAGTCTATTCTCAAATATCAAATTAAAGAAAGCTTTGAACTTGGAGATAATGTGAAAGAGTTTTGCATTTTGTAAAGCAACAGATGAATTCTTGTACCAACATCGATCTGTTCCAATATGGTTTTGGTATGGGTCACAGAAATTATCCACTGGTTACACTGGTTAAAAATAAAGAGTATCAATGACACATGAATTGCTGATGAGTGATGAAGTTTTCCTAAGGTGGTACAAAGGTGAAAATAACTGATTTTTCTGAGATATGAAATTATTAATTTCTTTCTTACTTGATCAAGATTTGAGAAGTGGACCAGCCCATCGTATTATCTGCAAAACAATTCACTGATAATCTTTGTAGTTATGTAGACATATTAAGTTCCTTATTAGATTAAGAAATTCAAAAGAAAAATTCTTTTGATTCAAACTGAGCATAGATTATGAATTGATTTAGATCTGCTATTAGTGATTTGTTTAACAGTCATCCCAAATAATTTGTATAGGAACTGGCTAAAAGCATACCTATAGTTATTTCAATATGACATGTGGGTAGTGTTATCAAATGGTCTATCTTAGATTCCTTCCGTAAGCCATTCTGACAATTAACACACTTTTCACATTGAAATTTGTTATAGAGGCTTACATAGACCCTCCCTTAAGCTCCAACCAAACAATAGCAGTTATTGTGTCTAAGAAGTGACCGCATGGAAAAGAATATAACTGACGGTTAATTTTAGAAGAAAGATTCCAGGACAGATAACAGCTTTAATGGAGCTGGATTAATTTCAATAGAAACCTCAAGTTGCACTATATCGACCCAGAAAGGGGCCACGTGCTTGTCAGTCTTTCTGTAAAAACTTAAATTTGCAGTCAACCACAGCCTCAAGTGGTTATCTCCAGAAAGAAACATTTTTCTTAACTCTTTGTACTGAAGTTATTTCTGTTTAACAATATACTGCTCAACTGTTCTATTTTTTGAATTTACATTTCTAATAAATGCGGCTATGGTCACGTAGCTCATTGCCAATTGAAATTAAACACAAATTCAGACAAAAGAAATGTAAACCAAGATTTTGTTTAACTTATTGTTTTGGGGTGTCAGTAGTGTAGTGTTAAAATTGAATGAAAAGGCAAGACTTTGTTTAGTGAATTTAACATTCTTGGAATAACTTGAGCTTAGATTGATGCTGTGGTCAAAGTTTTAAGCTAGTTAAATTGCTTATTCATTTGCTGATTTTTTTTTATTCATTCCTTGGATTGTTAACCTGCCTTATTTGTGCCTTTGGAGGTGAAAGGATCTTTGTTGAACTTGACTGCTTGAAGAGTATACAGTATAACCCAACGAACTGTTAAATCTATTAGTCATTTGATTTTCACACTTTGTCCCTTTTTAATGTCTTACCCGATTGTGCCTTTTGATTCTTGAGGTTTTTAACAGTTGTTTGCATTTATGATGTATTTGTGGAACATTTTGTTTTTGTTTTGTGCATGAGTTACTCACATTGAGCTTAGCAGTCTTTTAACTTAATTAAAGTTCCATGTTAAATGAATTAAAAATGGTTTTTGTGATGGCTTCACGCCAAGACATTTGAAAGATTGACAGCAAGGGGTGTGTAATAATCGCAGTTAGTGTTGCAAGCCATTGGTTAGTACCACTAAAGACTTGCTAAAAATAATTCAACTGTGCAGTAATTATTACTGAATGATATCCTATATTTTTAAAATGTTACATAATATGTCAAATTCCTATCTTTGACATTTCAGTCAACATAATCAAATTTCCCTGCAATGTTGTTCTTGTAGCGAATTAGACATTTAGTGATAAAATTATTTTATTTTTGTGTGATGCGGACTCTTTCAACTATGGTTAAATGGATGTTGTGTGTAATTCAATTCATTGTATGTGAATACAGGACAAAAGTTCCACAGAGTGCATCAAGGCGGCACAGAGAAAAGATAAACGCAACCTTGGAGGAGCTTGGCAGTCTTCTCCCATTGCCAGAAGATGCCAGATCAAAATTGGATAAACTGACAGTTTTGAAACTATCTGTCAGCTTTTTCCAAACTCAAAATTATCTACAGTCTGGTAAGTTCAAATACATCAAGAAACAGTGACAGTTAATTAAAAACCTTTTGGAGGTCCTTGAGGTACTTGTGTATCGCTGTTGGTTGCATTCTATGATTATTATTGGTCAAGATTAATTAATCACCTTCGGAAATAGCGTGACTAAATGCTATGGAAATCCGATTAGTTCCATTGTAAGCATCTCTTGATGGCCAGGAAGTAGATAGTTTGCAATGGGGAATGTCTGAAAATAACATAATTAAAGTGATGGAAGAATGCCAAGACTCTCAGCTGACTAGTAAATGATGAGGTACACATTCATTGTAAACAAACACAAACATGGAGACAGTCTAGGTCAAGCACAGCAAGGCATGCAATGCATTCTCATGAAAACCCCATGACGTGGCTTTGACTCTGAACTGGTAATAATGGCTGCAAATTCACAACCCCTAAATGATAATGTAATGAATATTTTGTTATAATTTGTCCCACCTTGAACATGATAGTCATCCTTTGAGATGAAGTAGTCTCCCTTGCAGCCCTTTCCGGCATCGTCACGCAAGCGAAAACTCCCCCACCAACAGCTGCTCACATTCGAACAACATTCCTTTCCGGAAATTGGCCAATCAGCATTTACTTACCATGTTCTGGAAAGGGTTTGTGCCTCAATAATCAAACCAATCACAGAGTTCGTATTATCTGAGTGTTGAAACTGACAAAAAGGCATCTCTTTAAGACGCTTTCGACTCGGTGCGAGATACTTTTGGTATTGAGAGCTTGAATTCGCACCAGAGAGAAGCCATAAAAGTAATTATAGAAGAACTTTATAGAAGAACTTTATTAGAAGCTTGTAGCACTCGCAACAAATTGATTCCTCTCTTGAGTTGGAATAGCTGTAGAGGTCAACATCAATACTAGCCTTTATTATCTCAGGAAAATTCCAAGCACTTCTCCCAAGTAAACAGGTTTTATCTTTAGAAACAGCAAAAGAGCAAACAAAACACCGATCATTATCTAATATTTTCTCGGAGTTTGGATAACATCACATTCCATCTTTAGAAACTATCGCGTGTTCATTGGTTGTTTGTCAGACAATAACTTTATTTTGATTGGATAACACATGACAATGGGAAAGGAATGTTGTTCAAATGTCAGCAGCCGTTGGTGGGGGAGTTTTCACTTGCGTGACGACGTCAGAAAGGGCTGCAAGGGAGACTAGAGATGAAGGTGGGTTGTGTCCTGTAGGAAGGAAACAGGGAGGTGATAAGGAGGGGTTGGACAGGATTGGATTATCCCCTTCCCCACTCTATAACTCTGCCAAATGGTAAAATGTATGTGTTTTCAAATTTGTTGAGACCCCCTAGCCTTCCTCAGCATCTTCCCCCTGTTAGCAGTTTGAAATTGTTTCCTAATAGATTATTACAAGTTCTTTATATTAACCCTTTAAAGTGTATATGACACGAAATTTTTTTTTCCGTTAATAGCTAGTTCCATGTGTATAATAAACGGTTTGAGATTTTAAAATGAATGAAACAAATTTTTTGGTCGATTTTTAGCCCCCGAAACATGCTAAATTTATGTGTAAAATTGTTCCCGGAGACTGGGGCGAGAATTGGACTCGTGACGTCAGGTTGTTTGATCCTTTGATTGGCAAGGTCAACAAATATCAGTGTTTTCCGATAATGTATTCTTTTGAATTTTGTACTGGAGAACGAGGCCACCCTGGCAAATTTATATGTAAACAAAAGAATTTTAATCCGGCAGCCATTTATGAAAGTGGTCTAATGAGAGTCAAACAACCTGACGTCACAGGTTAAGTTCAAGTGACCTTTTGGCCGCGCGTTTGAGGGGACAAATTTTAAGCCAACTTAGCGCGTAGTTTAATGAAAACTATGTGTTTATAATTATTTTCAACGATTTTTAACTCTCGAACCGTTTGTTATATATATCGAACTAGCAGAAAAGAAAAAAAAAAATTTCATGTCATATACACATTAAGAGTGACTAGAATCCAAGTTCTCCTGACAATATCCCTTCTGAATCACATGTTAGGGTCACAAGAATAAAGAAATTAATCAGCAACTAAAGCTCCCAATTGTTAAATAAATTCTTCTAGTCAGCACCTTAGGCAATGTATGGAAAGCAGTATGGCAAGTATGCATACTGATACAAGGTTGTCGTTAAGTGCTGGCTGATAGCAAAATTTGCTGGATGAAAAAGGGGTGATTGCAGCTGGATTTTTGGCCAGCAATTGCGTGATAAAACACAGTGCGTACTTCTGAGGTTACACACTTACAATTATTCTCTACCTTTGAGCCATCTCACTTAAAATTTCAGATGGCAGCGTAATATCTTAGCTAAACCCCTTTGAGGGTGTAAAGGGTCAAGGCTATGGTAGCCCTTGACAGGTATCCTTTGTGAAAATATTGCTAATTAAATGCCCTATTTGGAGCATAACAACTATGAATTGCATTTATATACCCATGGAAAGATTAAGCAACATGCCGTCTGGCAAAATTTTGTGTAAGCTTGATGTAGGTAATCTTAAATCAACTGAGGCGTCGGGTATCAAATCTGATCACGATCACCTTGTGTAATTGGAATCAGGAGATATTTTTGCAATGGAAATTCAAGAACCAGGATGTTTTGGCACTAAAAGGTGTCACAAGTCTCATTTGTTGACATGTTTGTTATAATTGGCTATTCACACTTTGGCAGACTGAAGTGAAAAAATGATGAAAATTAAAAATTTTAGTTGTTATGTAGAGCACTTATGTTGTGAGGCCAATAAACTGCAAGGCAGTCATGTCAACCATTAGGCAGTGCAAAAATAAGATGAATCATTGATAAAAGGTGCTACCGTTGAGGGACCAACCACAAAGCAGCGTCAAAATAAACATCATTAACCTCAAATCAATTGTTTATCAAAAGCACCTTATAGCAACCCATTCTAAAGGAGTCCCCCCTCATATGAATCAAAATGGTCAATCCAGCAATGGTTTATAGGAAAAAATTTTTAAAGTCCTCTGTTCACCATCTCCCGCCGGCTACTTTTAACATTTGCTAACCATCCCCTCATTTCTTTTCCTTCATTAATTTTTGTACTGCACATTTCAATATTTTACCAATTTTGTCCCTAGAAACTACTGTTAAAATAGTTTGACTTGAAAAAAAAAAATTGCAAACAAAGTGGCCATTGATGGTATATGATATCCTTAAGGAGCTACTGTAACAGCTTGTTTCTAAAACCAATTTTATTTTCCTTCTTAGGGAAGAGAAAGAGGGGAGTGGATGATGCATCTGTTAGTGACATAACCAAGAAACTTGAAGAGTTGAACATAAATGTCAGTGATATTTCATTGGAGGTAAGTGTTTTATATTTGTTGCAAGTTATGTTATTTCATCTTGCCATTCATGAAATTCTTAACCCTTACACTCCGATCCCAAGATCTGATTACAAATTCTCCCCTCTAGCTGCTTCACCTTTCCTTGTAAATTGGTTACAAGAATTTGGTGTTCAATCAAGGTAACAGCTTCTACCTGATAAGTTTGAGTATTCTCATTACCTATTTGCTGGATCATGTCTGGATATTATAGGGGGGAGTTACAAGTTAATCACTTGTGGGAGTTAAAGGGTTAAAAGAAAAAAGAAAGAAATAATTTGGGGTTTTTTTTATATAAAGGTTTTCCTTAACTTTGCTGTCCAGGCTCTCTCAAGTCTCTATTGTCTGTGGTTCTGGAGTAAATTAAAATACAAGCCATTTACAATCATTATGCTAACTGGTTGTGTTGTGTATATCTAGGGGTGGTCACATAATTATACCAGGGCTGCTGGGCTAAAACAACACCTTGTGAATTTAAGGCCAGCTAGTTTTTGTAACTTCACATTGTACAAGCTTACAAAGCAACTCCAAAATTTTCTCGAACATAAATGTGAGAGCAAATTTCAAAATTTGAAGTGGGTGGTTGTTGTTGAATGTATATTGCCTCTGTGGCCACATTCTATGAATTGATGGTGATAACTAGGAAAACCCATGGAAGTTTTCTTTTATGGATAGGCAGTTTTTTTTTGTTGTTGTATGTAACACTAGCCACAATTGCCAACACATTTTACTACCAGGAACATCTTTGGTGACAATATTTTCCTCTTGGGATGTGACTTCCTCAATTAGTGTTTGAATTATTGTTATCATGATTAATAGCTGAGGTGTCTTGGTATTAAACCCAAGTGACATTTGGGGAACAGATAGAATCAATTAAATTTTGTTCTTAAAACAAAACTTGATCAAAGAGAATTGTGAGAAGTTTATGTAGAATTAAGAGTCCCCCTAGAATTTTTATGCCCTCTTCTTTTGTATAGTGTTGGATTGATTTTAATTCAAGGATCTACGGCTCTACTACTCACAAACGCTGTCTTTCTCCTCATTTGCTTGGATCAATTCAGAGAGTTGTCATCAAAAATATTATTGGCTCTTTGTACTTATTTTGTACGGATGATATTATTTTATGTGGCCTGTTTCTCTATATTTGAATTCCTTTCACAATTTTTGATAATATTTAGATAAAATTGTTGACAGCATTGTTTAATTACTAGGGATACTAACCTTATAAATTCTAAAAGGGCTTTTGAAATACTGAGAATATTATAAATAACCAAGTTCAACTTCCCTCAAAATTCAGTAATTTATCAAATGAATGTTCTTTGTTTGATTTTTCAAATAATGAATGATAATTCATATTTTTTTTTTCAAAGACATAAAATTCAAAATTGAAAAACTGTTTTTGAAGGATATATCAGCAAAGTTGAAATGGTAAATTGGCCACCGCAAGGATTACAAAAGCTGACATTTCGAGCGTTAGCCCTTCGTCGGAGCCAATACCGACGCAGCCCCAAACAGTTTCTTTCGAAACTATCAGCCTTTATTCATTTGTTTTTGAAGGAGTTGACAAAATCAATATTCATCTCACGTTTGCCCATTATCATGAATTAAATATATTGGCACTTGACATTGATAGGTACTTTCTATTAAATTTGCCCAGATGAATGACCAAGTTGTTTATTGTCTCATGTTGTTCACATTAAGAAAAATGAGAAACAGTGGCACCGAAATTGGTGAAGTTCAATTGTTTTTATATTTAGAGCATAAAGAAAAGTTTAAGAGGGCCAGATAACAGACTCTATGATGAAGCGCTCAACCATAACCTTGGGTTGTTTTTAATAATATTTCATTGTTCCTGATGATTTACATGTGAATGAGTATATTTTTGCTTGTGATTGGACCTAAATTTAGATGAAGAGCAAAATTAAGGTTGCTAACCCCTTGATGCATGATATTCTTTAATTTATGCTTAAATTATTTCTACACTTTTCACAGAAGCATTAATTTTTTACCCTTGCTCATATGACTTTATTTTTCATTGGTAATAATTTTAAAAGCTTAGGATTTGATTTGAAACGAGCACAGTTATACTGAGCTTAACCCATAAAGCAAATGTCAAAGTGCACCTCTTTAATGGGAGGGTGTTGACTTGCTTTAAAATTCATGGTTGCCAATCAACTGTATTCAAAACAAGTGGAGCTTATCAAAACAAATCAAGCATAATCTGTGTATGCACTATTGCTGTGCTTCCAGACTGAAGGACTCAAAGGCTGCACAAATCAGGAAAAACAAAGGTGTTTGTCAACAAATCCATTTTCTTAAGAGCATAATTATGAAGATTTTTAACTCTATTTGTGCTGTGAATAATCCACCATCACTTCAAAACATGCCGCTGGGCTGCTGTGGTCAAGGGTCAAACCCAATAAACCATACAAACATACTTATTTTTAGCTGTGGTTTTGTTTCATTCCCTTAACCGAAACCATGTCAGGAGTTGTTTGTGTTGAAAAATGTAGTCTGAAATTTTCAAGTCTGTTATGAGTACTTTTTTTTATTTTACCATCTTTAAGCTTTGTAGTTCCTTCTTGGGGTATTACTACTTGTTCTACATTTTTCTCTAACCAAAATAATATTTTAAGCCTTATGTTTGCACAAAATATTATCAAGGCTTTGGTCTAGCGGCGCCCGGTGGCCCCTGGCACCTTACTTTTGCTCTTGGGCACCTTGGGAATCTTGGTTTTTTCATAAAAAGTATATGCTGGGCACCCTGGATTTCACTGTTTCAGAGCACTGGGCTCCCTTCAATTTTTCTTAAAGCACAGCTTTGATTATGTGCTATATCGCTCATCACTATGCTATAAGAGGACAAATTCTCGAATGGATCTCAAGCTAATTGACAAACGAGCAACAGTTTGTCCAATTTAGTACATCTTGTCCACAACTGGAACCTATTATACATGAAGTCTTGCAAGGTTCAATCTTGGGTCCTGTGTTGTTTAAAATCCATCTTAATGACCTCCCAAATGCATTGAATTTGGTAAAAACCCTTCTATTTATTGATGATACTGATCTTTTTTATTGTCGTAAAGATCCCAACCAGACAATGTCCATCATGAATAGTGAGATAATGAAGACTGTGAAATGGCTAATAAAGCTAATAACCTATTGCTTAGCATCACCAAAACTAGACTAAATGACATTCTATTTTGCTTAAAACAAAAATGCACTGTTGTTAACTCTTGGCATTATTGGCATTGAGCAGGTTGAGGTAACAAAGTTTCTTGGAGTTCTTGTCCATCAGTATCTCTCATGGAAGCAACATGTCTCCCACATTGCTAAAAGATATTGAAAACTATTGAAATAATAAGTAAATCTTGTTTGTTTTTTTTCTTCAAAATCTTTACTATCTTCACGCTATACTCTAGTGTATCCTTATTTCAAATATTGTTATGTTGCATGGTCCTCAACTTATCCTTCTAATTCAAACAGGCTTTTCCTCCTTCAAAAACATAGAGTCAGAATTATTAGTGGAGCTGAATATGTAGCTCATACTGCACCCTTGTTCTACAATCTTAATATCCTTGATATTTACAACATTACTGCTTTCACTGTAGCTTGTTTTATGAGTTCCTATCACAATAATCTCCTTCCTGATACTTGTGATACTCTTTTCTGTACTTATCATCAAGTTCATATTATGATACCTGGAATACCAGCAACTATATTGTAGAACTATTATTGAGTAGTTTATGATCTTGCACCAAGGTCCAAAGGTTTGGAATTCCCTACCCTGTGATCTTACCCTATCCTACAAATTGTCCATCTTTAATTCTTTGCTTAAAAAATTCCTCCTTAACAGAAAACTAAACTAAACTCGACTGTCTGAAGTTAAGCTATTCTTACTATCTACTACATTTGTAAGGAACCCAGGTTTTATAAGCTTCTAACTTCTATTGGGTTTCCTTGCCACATTATTTATAGATGTCTCTAAATAATAAATAAATAATATTATTATAGTAATTATTCTTTTAGATTGCTGTAAACAACTTTAATTTATTTTTGTGTGTGTAACTAGCAAAGTGAATAATTATAGTACCATTGGTACTGACAAGGATAATTCATTTGACAATCAAAGCTTTCCTCATTCTCAAGAACTTACTAAAATTTAATGATTCAGCAGTATTTTTGTCAGGAGAAATTAGATGCCAGTTGGTTAGGGTTTGAATGGTTAGGAAGAGGTGCAAGGTAAAAGTTCCCAAACAACACTGACTCCCATTGCTGGGAGGGCATATTGCAATTTTAGTTGCATTATGGCTTGCCTTCTGTATGGGATGCTACCCATCACAAATTACTGGCATCCAACCTTTTTCTGAGTTTCCATGACATTCTGCTAGTAATGATTATGTTTGTATGCTCTGAGACAGACTGTGACTTTGTCAGAGTAACGTGTCTTCCTTTTAAGAGGACATCACCATGTTAGACACAGCTCAAACTGACATCTTGTGATAAGTAGTCTTGTCGACTATCCTTAGGATATGGTATATATCCCAAGAGGTTCCATTTACCTTTGAAAAAAGCTGCTGACTCTCACAGGCACCACACGTATTGTGGAGGCTAGAAGCATTTAACCCCAAAACTTATGGAAGTGATCAATATGTAAGTTCTCCATACAATATCAATACATTTCTTGCAACAAAGTAACAGGAATCATCAAACTCATCATGTGAAGGTTATTGTCTGGACATTACACCAAATTCTTATAAGAAATTTAGGAGGAAATGATTTCCTGCTTGAGGAGAGAATTATGAAATTTTACAAAAATTAGAGGTTAATAGAGCAAGCTGTTCAGTGTAAGGTTAAGAGAGACAGAATGCCGGTGAAAAGTGATCATAGAGAGCAGGTGAAAGTAACAACATGGCAACATTTTGATAGCTGTACCAGTCTTCATCTGCAGAGATCAAAACTGTTAGCTGTTTTTTTTGTGTGTGTGTTATAAGTTCTTGGAATCTCTGTTCTTAAAGTGAGACCTATCCTCAATTTGGTAGATCCTACTGCAGGAGACAAGCTAGTGTGTTGCATTTTATGGCTTGAGCCTCTAAAAGTATATTTTTGTTCAGTATGATTTGTACATGATTTTAGCATTAAGCAGTTTTACTATTTAAAGAATCAAAAGCAAATTCCAGTTGACCTTCAATCTGTAGTCAAAAATTACCATACATTCAAATAGGTCATTCAAGTGAGCATTTTACTCATTGTTAATGCTTTGAGGGCATAAAGTGGGTCAATCTGTCAGTTATTTTTGGAAAATCATTATTTGCCATGAAATCAGACAGGTAATGGGATTAAGAGAATTAGTATTGATTAATTAAAGGATACAGGGTGGAACATGACACTAAATTCTAAGCAAAGTAGAATTTATCATGACCGTAAATTGGAATTGTAAGGGATTAGCCTAGATTTCAATTTAAAGTGACTATTAAACTGAAAGGAGAGCTTCTTTAGCAGTGGTTTCCAAGTTCAAGTTCACAGTTAATTAGTTTAGTTGTAAAAGCTAAGTTACAGGGTAGATGCGTTTCAGACAGGAAAACATCATGCACTGTCTGGCATTTGAAATCAAAAGAAGCTTCTAGAGAAGACTGTCTGTTGTGTTAATTGCTTTATTTTGAGAGACCTTTGGTGCATTTTGCCAAGCTCCTTTAATAGACATGTGAATCTTTGTGGGCTGTGTTAAGGATTATGACATATAAACAGTTAAGGTAAATTCTGAATTGTTAATCTACTTATTATAATAAATAAGCTCATCTGAATGACTGACTGGTGACATACTTCACTTATGTCACTAAAAACAGCTTCTGGGTGCAAATTTTTAACCAAAGTAAAAAAATAGGCCCCCAAAGTCTAGTAAATGGCCTGTCATTTGTTATTTGCTTTAATTTGTGATAAATATAGGACAAAATTGAAACTTTTTAGGTTAAAATTAAGTGTTCTTAATAAGTGCATTTTCAAATTGCTGCAGGGCATTTAGCCTTTGTGGTCACATAAACAAAGATCATATTTGTTTTCAGAAACTTTTTGTAGTAAGTGAATTTTTTTTTTTTATTTAGCCAGAAATGCTTATAGATGATCAGCATCATGGTGCCTTTAGACAATTGTTCCTCCTCACAGGCCTTAAATGAAAGATAAACTCACATGCACGCACAACCAAACTCGTGTTTTGCTGCTGCTGCATGACTATGCATGTTTAAAATTCAGTTCTTAATTTGCATATTTTTTCATTCATTATGGTCATTGTTTTTGTCATTAATGGTTTACCGCTATTCACCTTTGCAAACATATGTGCATTCAAAAGAATGGATCAACCTCAACTTTGCAGCTAAACCTCAAAAGAAAATGCTTGCTCTTCACTAATTCACAGATAACTTTTAAGTTTTGAAGAAGCTTTTTGAATACATAAGATGTAATTAATCATACCCAAGACTGGAAGCTATTTGCACATGTGTATCCATGTACTATAATAATAATAATGATAACAATCTTTTATTAGGAAGCTCCATCACAATAGTGGTTTACATAGAGGTCCTAGCTTGTAAATTTGTCTTTCTATTTATAAAATAATTTATAATCTGTATTATTTATATTGGTGGTTAATGTGTCCAGAGAAGTTTGGAGTTGTAAATTGATCAACTCTCCCAGGAAAGGAAAGATAAAAAAAGGGGGGGGGGAGGCACATGATTTGCAATTCTGAGAGCCAATCAGATTGCAAATATTTTAAAAATAGGTATAATGAAGCTATTAAGGTCGGCACACACGAGGGGACTAGTCCCTGGGACTAGTGCGTGTGACTAGTCCCGGCAACAAGTCTTTAAAGGGTTTACACGAGGGGACCGGTAGCAGGGACCGGTCCCTTAAGGCATTCACACGAGGGCACTCAATTACACAAGAACATAGGAAAATTAAGAGGCAAAAGTTGTTTCTTAGTCTGGGGCATTACACAAAAACAAAATTGGACTATAAAACGTCAATGCAAAATGAACTACACTTCGGATGATTCATGCTTTTATGTGTTCCGCTTTTGTTTTGTTTTACCTTTTATTTTTAACAGACACAGAGTCAAATTGGGTAAAAAATCCATCAAAACGGCACCAAGACATCTGTATATGTTTACAAAACTAGAAATAGTTTTTTATTCATCAGTTGTAGAAATCTAGAATTCAGTGAAAATTCATAGAAACTGCAATGTTTACAAATACCAGAAGTCACATATCATACTTACCCGTGATTGGCTTATTTACCATTTAGTCGCAGGGACTGGTCGCACAAACAGTTCGCACAAAGGGCCACCCTTTTTTCATGCAACAAGTCCCTGCGACTGGTCCCACGAATTCAAACCACTTTGAATTTGTGTGACCAGTCACAGGGACCAAATTTTGGTCCCTGCGACCACAGAAATGTGTAGTTCACATGAAGGGACTAGTTGCATGAAACTGGTCCCTGGGACTAGTCGCAGGGACTAGTCCCCTCATGTGTGCCGACATTTAGGGTTTGGCAAAATGCTAAATGTTTTTAACCTTATCATGATCACCAGGCTTTGGATTCCTTTTTCCTGGTTCTGTCAGATTCTGGAGATGTCTTCTTTGCCTCTGAGAATGTGTATAGATATCTTGGATACACTCAGGTAATTGATGAAGAAGGGGTAGATATTTAGAAAACCCCTGCACAGATCACTCAACATAAATTAGACTCGGTATGAAACTAAAACTTTGGCTAGACAATGGAACTATCCTTGGAAGGTTGTGATATTGCACCTTAAAAGAAAGCAAAGTTTTTAATAAGGGGCCTACTAGTAGTTGTTCAAAGGATGGACAATGCCATCCAAGCAATAAATCACTATCCAGTGGATAAGTGAATAAATGAATAAATCTTAGCTTTCTCCATCCTACAAACAGCAGGGGCCAGGCAGGGCTCGACACCAACTTTTAAACCTACTAGCCAAGTGGCTAGTGACATCTTAGATGTTACAACAATTTCAGTTAGTTTACAAGCCGAACTGGCTCGTGGAAATTGAAAACCACCAGCCAAAACTGAATTTCTACTAGTTGGTGGGCAGTGGGCTACTGTTAGTGTTGAGCTCTGGCAAGGTCTTTAGAATCCGTCATTCATTAGGCTAGCCTTTCCCCTCCCCCCTCTCCCTCCTACAGCATCAGCCTCAGGGGTTTGAAATGAAAGTATAGTTATACCATCCATCTCTGAAGATTCAGAAAAAAGATAAAGTCATGGCAAAATTCTTTGTTGTTTGTGGGTGTCACATTTAGTGAAGAAAGGGAAAGAGGGGAAAAACCCCAGGTGAAGGAGAGTGGAAACAGGTGGAGTCTCCAGGAGGGATGAGGATAGTTTGCTTAATTAGGGTCACACACTCATCTCCAATTCATGGAATAATTTGGATTTATTAAAAACTAGATCATTGGATAATGCAATTCAACACTTTTTATTGGCTTAGCCATTATGGTATATCAGCCAATATACCATAATCTACAAATATGGCAGGCGTAAGTGTCAGCTTAAAATTAAAAGGGAGTTAAAATTTAATAAAATTTAATAACTTAATTTAACGTTTTTAATAAAACAATTATTCCACTTGCTCTTCTTGGATATGAGATGATTATAGCCAACTCGGCGCTATGCGCCTCGGCTATCAATCACCTCATATCCAACGCGCGCTAGTGGAATAATTGTTAAATATCAACAAAGTTGAAATGGTAAATTGGCCACCGTAATGATTACAAAAGCTGACATTTCGAGCGTTAGCCCTTCGTCGGAGCGAACGGACCCTTCGTCGGAGCGAATTTCACTCCGACGAAGGGCTAACGCTTGAAACATCAGCTTTTGTAATCATTACGGTGGCCAATTTACCATTTCAACTTTGTTGATATATCCAAATTATTTCGTTACTCCCACCGATGCAGCCCCAAACAGTTTCTTTCGAAACTATCAGCCTTTATCCAATTCATGGAGTTTCCTTGCATTTCCCCCCTCCCCAGTAAAAGAGTTGCCTCCCCCTCCCCACCCCATATAAGGGTTACAAACAAGTAATTTAATCCAGCCAACCCAAGTAGTTTGGACTTTATGGGAGGCTGCAATAACTTCTAAAGTCAGATTAACTCTACTAGTGAATGTTCATGAGAGCCATAAAGACCACACAATTATACATGGGCTGCCATAATGTTGAAGACTAATTGTGATGGTTCCTTCAACAGACATATTTGATGCACCAGAACTTCTTAAATTTTGTACACCAGGAAGATGTTGTAGGATTTGAAAGATGCCTACGACGGTCTGCAAGAGCTGTGAGTTATCAATCCTAATTAATCAGCATCTGGTTTCACAGAGGAAATATTCAATTTTTAAGGAGGCTCTTTTCAGGAAATACTCTGAAATTTCAAGTTGGTAAATGTAGTAAAGCTGAAGTTCTAATCCTCAAAAAAGTGTGATTTGAATACATTATCTTGCAAGCTTGTGATGAGAACAGGCAAAAATATCAGCAGTGGTACTTTGTTACTGCATGCAAGATTTTGCCTTTGTTTTTTTACTTAAACTTCAATTTGTTCTTGGTTTGGTTGTGTCAATAAATGAGATGTAAGGGAGTGGTGGCTGTGGACTCAATTGTCCTCTGAGTGCTTTCATAGTGAGGCTGTTGTGTAGAGACTGACAAAGTGAAATAAAGTACCTTTAAGTTTCTCCTGTGGTAAAGAACTTAATTTGGCCAAGTACGTTTACTAAACTTACTAATCCGTTTATCTCTACTTTTTAAGAGAATAATTGAGTTGGAAAATGGAACAGGGCTTGATTGTCAAGAACTGGAAGGTATCAACATTGAACTGAGTTTTAAATTCCCAATTTTAATCAGAATTCAATGAACTAGTAATTTTAGGAAAGTTTAGTTTTAAACCAGACCTTCACAGGTAAGTCATGCTGAGAGAAATTGACGCCATTTGGAAACGTGACTATCACGTGCTAAGTTGTGATATATATATGAAACCTTCATGTTCCACTCGAGCTTGCACTTGAGACAAAGACTGCTGGCCAAGAATAACTGTATTGCTTCTGGCTCTCATCCTTGTTGATTTTAAAATTTTAGATTTTTTCAATTGTGCCCTTTTGTGAATTTAAAAATGTCCATGACATTCAAAATTACTCGCAATACTCAAGCGTAAATTACTCTTCAAACCAAGTCTAGTGTAGAAAAATCATAAAAAGTCCAAGAGCCTTAATATGATATAAACAATTTTTTTTTTTTTTTACAGATCAACCAATTCCTCAAGTGTGCTTCTGCAGCATCAAGTGCCATGCTGGAAGACAGTCAAGCCATGTTAGTCCATTTTACTACAGGGTAGGTGGTTACAGTAGTAAAACAAGAATTGTAAAACTAGTCTTGTGATTAGTAGCTCGGGCTGAGGTTGTTTGAAGGATGGATGAAGCTATTGGAGGGATAAACTGTTATCCAGTGGATGAGTGTCAACCGTTTGACTCCCAAGATCCAATTGTGAATTCTCCCCACTAGCTACTAAAGATTTCCTTTTACATAAGTTACAAGATTGAAGAATTAAGTGGTACATCCAGGTAACAACTTCTATCGAGAAGTTTGAGTATTCTCATTACCTGTTTGCTGGATAATCTGTGGACATGATAAAAAGAAAATAATTCAAATACTGCAAAATTATAGACGAACGATCGACGTTTCGGCCATATCACACGGCCTTCACCAGGAAACTGCCGAGTCAGCCTAGGTGACGCAAGTTTCACGTGATAGCTGACTCAGCACGTCACGTCCCGTAACGCACGGTCCCACGTGTGCGATAGTACAAACCGCAACCCCCCTTTCTTATTTAGAGAAGGGTCCTCGTTCGTCTATAATTTTCCAGTATTTGAATTATTTTCTTTTTATCTTATTCTCAACTGGATGACTGATACAATTCGTAGTCATAATCTGTGGACATCATAGGGAGAAGGTACATGATAATTACTTGTGGGAGCTAAAAGATTAACAAAATGTCCTGCGCTATCCATCGGATAGAGATTTACCCAGTGGATAGCATTATTCATCCTTTGCACAACTTGGGTCAGGTGATAAGAGAGATGGGCGTGCTCTGATTGGTTGAGTGTTGTTACGATATCGTTAATACGTATGATGCACGATCCTCGCAGTTCAGAGCGCTATTTATGCAATAGCGAAAATCAGACCTGAAAAAAATCAGGCCTGTACGGGATTCGAACCAATGACCTCTGCGATACTAGTGCAGCGCTCTACCGATTGAGCTAACAAGCCAACTGAGAGTAGGCCGTTAAGTTGATTCGTAATAAACCCGTGATGAATTAAATTGTTTGTAACTTACATTCAGGACCATCTGAAACAAAAGAAACTAACAATCAAACTAGTTTGAAAAATCTTAAAAACCAGGGAAAAATTTCAACCACACTAACAATAAAAACCAACATTAGCAATATCAGATACAATGAATATATGAAGTTCATATATTTTGAACTGCGGTATTAGATACGTATGATGCACGATCCTCGCAGTAGAGAGCGCTATTTATTTTCGCTATTGCATAAATAGCGCTCTCTACTGCGAGGATCGTGTATCATACGTATCTAATACCGCAGTTCAAAATATATGAACTTCATATATTCATTGTATCTGATATTGCTAATGTTGGTTTTTATTGTTAGTGTGGTTGAAATTTTTCCCTGGTTTTTAAGATTTTTCAAACTAGTTTGATTGTTAGTTTCTTTTGTTTCAGATGGTCCTGAATGTAAGTTACAAACAATTTAATGTCAAACTTGTTTGGAAATTTTGAACCGAGGAAAAATGTGAACCGCACTTAAGATTCTGAGGTGCTAAATCTTGAGCTTGGTTCCAGACCCTGTTTTGTGTTAATGTGGTTGTTATTTTCCTTATCATTACACAGTCATTTAAATTTGACGGTAAAATCAAGCCACTACTGAATGGAAAGAAGAAGCAGTTTGGATTTTTTTCCCTTGTGACTCCAGTCAACCCCGCTAATCCATTCACCAGTACTCCTAAAGAGTTGCTTCAGTCGTACAGTTGTAAGATGGCACTGGATCTCAGAATACGCAAGCTTGACACAAGGTGTGTTTCATATGTAAATCCATTACAAATTATCCCTTAGCCCGTATGAAACTCTAAGTTGGACGGGACGAGTGAAATAGCTGGAAAAACGCCAGGCGAAAACAATTCTCGGCGGTTTTAGGAGGAATCAGCGGTGGAATGAGAGCCTCTCTCCCTATTTATTTACTCTGACGCTCTTGCCCTTTTTTCACCTGCCTGCATTTTGGCTTGTCTCGACTTTTCGAAACTCCTCCCATTATTCGCCTTTTTAATTTTTCGGATATATCAACAAAGTTGAAATGGTAAATTGGCCACCGTAACGATTACAAAAGCATACGTTTCGAGCGTTAGCCCTTCGTCGGAGCGAATAATAATTTTTCGGCCTGTCTCCAATTTCTGACATTCCTCCCCCCCTTTTTTTTTTTCATTTCCACTTTTTCTCTTGTCTCTACCAATCTGTAGCAAACCTTGCATTTGCACTTTCCTCGTCATGTAGGTAGCCACGAAAATCTTAGCTTAATAAGGTCTTAAAATTATGTGACGTTAGGTTTTTTAATTTGTTACAAGCTGGAGGTGATGTAGACACGCGGAAATCTTTTCCAAATTCAGGAAACTAACAACTTGACCGGCAGTAATGTAGTTCCTGTAGGAACCTTCGCAGCGTTGGTATTCTGGAGTCTCGCCAAAAGTGTTTTAACGTGGCTCTTCAGCTTGTATTCCATCGCTGACAGTTAATGTTTTAATCCTGTTTGTGTCCATAGAGGACAGAAATCTTTGTATTATCCTGATAAGGAAGCTGTAAATATGACTGGCTACATGGTTGCTCATCCTGATGATATTCCAAGTCTGTTGTTGGCCCACCAACAAAGTAAGCACTCTTTTGTTGCACTTGAGTGAGTTTTAATTGCTTAATCGAGAGTAATTCGCAGTTGTATTCGTTTGCTTCTTAGACTCCGTGACCGCTGTCGTTTGGTCGCGTCACGCAATGTGTTCGAGAGAGAAAGCGTTGCGTAGTGCGACCACCTAACGGTTGCCAAGGTGACCATGGAAATCTCTGGCCCCTTTAAATAGACAGTAAACGCGCGTTACCCTCGCGACCAATCACGTGCACTCTGTGATGGCCGAGAATACTTCTCAAAGGAATGGCACTTCTAGGCACTTCTTGCTACTCAAACAGGGATGAGTTCCGAGGGCGACGAGAGTCACTCTTGTATGCTGACTTTATTCGTAGAGAGGTATTTAAGATACACATTGTTTTGGTCATTGCAGTTACAGCTACTGGAGTGTGTGAAATAGTGTTCAGGCTGAAGAATGGTCAAGGAGTATTCCAGTGGATCAGAGGAAAGGCGAGGACTCTGTATGATAAGAATAACCAGCCAGAAGCTATCACTGCTGATAATGTTCTTTTGAAGTAAGTCCAAAATGTTTTTAAGTGCTCTTCTTTTAGTTTTGGTGTAAGTGTTGCACAAGACACTGACCCGCCTCCAGTCCTCCTCACAACGTGCTCGGCGTGGGAGTGTGACTCGCTTAGGAGTGCGACTCTCATGGGAGTGTGACTCTCGTGAGAATGTGATACGCGTGTGAGTGTGAGGAGGGGAAGAGAGGGTTTATTCCAAGATGGCGGACGGTTGAAAAATGGAAAAGGGACCTTTTCTTTGAGCTTTTATATATCAAATTGAGAACGTTTCCCTTTCAACGGTGTTTTATAGGAAGATCCCCTAACGACATAGTTCACAATGCAAGGGATTCGACACGCATTTAGCTTGCGTCTACGCCAAAATTCTCGTTGAGTTTATTGTATAATTTTTTACTTGTTTCAGCGATGAACAAGGACCTTACTTCAGAAAGGTTTGTTATGAAGCGCTCCTTGAATGGAAGTCTCGTCAGAAGGGTCTTCCTTCACCTCCCGGTGAGGAGGACTACAATTCACGTCTGAGGGAAATTGCTCAAGAGAAAGGGCTTAAAACACCTTCACCACCACAAGGGAATGGACTTCCAACTGGTGCTGTTCCTCCATCTGTTCCTCCTCACGTACAAAATGTACCAGATGAACCACGCCCAGTGGATTTGCCGTATGCAGCAGACAGATCATATCCCCCACCCGTACCAAACGGACGACTTCCACAAGGCATAACAGGTGCACCAAGTGGGGCACACACAGGGATACCAACAACGTTGGCTGGATCACTCTCGTCAAACAGACCCGTTCCAGCTTCAGTGCCATGTCTGGCTACCTCCAGGGAAAGCGGTAGCATAAGTGGGCAAGGTTTGTGTTGAGCGTGGCTGCAGTTTTTCTAAGTGTGTCGTTAAACATCTGTTATAATCTCCTCCTTCCATAGCCATTTGGTTTATGATCAACTCTTTTTTTTTTTCTTATTTGACTAAACGAATATTTTTTTGTATCCGTTTAAAGCTGTAGGTAGTTTTACACTTCGCAAAAATTGTTGCTGTTAGCTGTATTAAAAGTCTGAGATTTCTCTATAGGGTAGTTAAAAAGGACTGAAATCGAGAATGAATGATGAAGTTGTTTCGGTACACTTCCACTAGTCGTTCGACAACTTCACGCCGAAAGAGGCTCATTTTTTTTTATTATTATTTTGTCTCAATCACTCACTGTGAGGTCACTCACTATCCATCTCGAATAGATCGCGAATAGCGTAACCAATCAGATTGCAGTATATGTGCTAGAACACTGGTAGATTTACACGAATTTGACATTGCTTCTTTTAAGCCGCGCAAATAATTTTCTTTACACCCGTACTTGTTAAGGCCGGTGAAATCCTTAGCGAAGAAAACGCAAAACTTTTCCTTTCCTTTGCACTGTAGGAATTACTGTCATACCTGATGAAGTGTTACTGGACGACTCCAAAGACATCGAAATTATTGATTTTGCCAATCCGACCACTGTGGCAGAACCAAGCGGTCCTAAAGTGCCAACGTTTGACCTGACTTCAGGTTCATCAGAGTCGTGTATGTTTAGGTCTGCACACCTGAACAGGCAGCCGTTAGAGGTGAAGCCAAATTTGGCACACAGTGGAACTGGTCACAACTTCAAGACGGAAAACAGGAATGATTCAACTCATGTGTTCTCGAAACGGAGTAAGTCGGCTCATGAACAGATCCATCGCATCAAACAATTCCTTATGGGCGAGGAAGCAAACTCTTTAACGCATCTACCTCAGGCTGATAGCACCGTTTATATAAATGGGGGAAGTATTCACGATGTCCCTGATCCTTGGGCCGGTTACCCTGTTGACACATCACCAGTTCTACCAGAGGTTAACTTCCCTGATGACGATGATGAATGTTTAGTGAACTATCCCCAGGCACTGCAGAGGGAAATGCGGCCAACTTATCAACCAAACGAATACACTTTATCTGAGATTGTCCAAGGCAATGTTACGAGCACGCAGTTCGTTGGAACTCGACAACCCGACACAGACAACTTAATTTATCCGTTTTTACCAGATACGAGTAGCGTTAGCCATGGGAAGCCTTCAAACGCCTTTGTTAACGGCATGGGCAAGCGGGATATTCATCTGATACCAACAACTATAGATGGCTTGCCACCACCATTGCACAATGGGCAGGAGTTTAATCCGGCATTCCGTTCTCCTGAGGGGACCCTCCCTCAGTCGCATCCGCCAAGATATCAACATAATCACAACGGACTACACCTCCCTCAAAGGGGTGTTGGTTTTAACTCAGTGATAGGTTCTACTCCTGCAAACCAGTATTCTCTTGACTTAATGCTTAACTCCAATACCTCAAGTGTGCCAAGACAAGACACCAGCCTGTGGTACTCATCACCTAAAACTACTAATCTGGCTCAGAATATGCCCCCAACAATCGACGATATGCCAAGCGTAGATGAACTTACGCCAAGCTTGTATGCGAACCCAACCATGGCTCCTTACGCTAACCCTACACAGTTTCACAATAGACATATCTCCGAATCTGTCCAACCAACCAATGCATTTCATCCTTCGAATGGTATGCATTTAAACCAGCCCGGTGCAAATCAGGGCTTTCAAAAGCAAACTTTTCAAAACGAACCCGGAGATGCGAAGAAAGTGGATCCAAACTTACAACAAGGTGGAAATAGCTTACTTAGAATGATGCTTACCCTATAACTAGAGAGTTGAAGTTACTAGGTTGTTTGTATGAAGATAGCGCGGCAGGGAGCGGACGTCCTATCCTGTTTCTGAGCATCCGAGAGATGCGTGACCTTTCGATGCGTTTGCGGTTGCTCCACTTCAAACGGAAGCTAGTTAGAGCATTTTTCAATTGACTGTCAAAAGCTGAAACAAAAGTTATCACAAAGGCCCATTGAGAACTCACAGTAAATACAGGCAAATTACAAAAAGCGCGGGAAAATACGGGTGACGAAGCCACGATTTATATTGATGTTGCGTCTGATTGGTTAAAAGGATGGAACGAGTTTCCTGGACCAACCACAGAACAAGGTAAAGCAAAATCGAAGTAATCCCAGATTGCTAGCGACACTCTTTTGAAAATTGCTCTATGTGTAAAGCAACAGAAATACTTTATTATGTGGCAAAGCTTACTTGCTACCAAATAAGTCAGCAGTCGTAAATTTTCACCCCAGCTCGAAGTTAATCGAACGACTTCATATTACCGAGTCGGTTATTTGTCGATCGACATCGAGCTGTCCAGTGCTCTTAGGTAAAATTTCGGGAAAAGTTCTGTCGGAGCTCGGTAGCCAGTTGGAATGTTCGTAGTGTCTTTTCGGTATCTGGTCAACTTAAGAGTACGAGGGATTCAGTAGTAAATCGGTAAAGTGACCTCAAACGTTGTATTTTATCAGTGGGATCTCTTTGAAGTGACTTTGATAAAAAAAAGCGATAGTTCGTCAAAGTTTTCATTCGGTTGGTCGGAGTATTTGCACGATCATCGATCGATCAAACATCGAGGTATCCATAGTTCGTCTTCAAATTTTCGGCAGCTTTTCAGTGGCTATCAGGCAGATGACGAAGAGCTTAATACATTAATAGGATTTTTTAGAAGAAGAGTTTTCCCGCTAAATAGAAAGTCTATCTTAATTAGAAATTAATGTCTTGAATTATTTCGTTTACAAGTTTTACAAGCACATCGTAATATGATCGTAACTAAATTGTCTCGCTACCATATAAATTAATTCACAATAGTTTGCGCCAGTGTGGATTATATAAGATAAATGTAATGATAAAAGACTACGTAAAACTATTTTGGTCGGGTAAATGAGCACTAGTAAGCTAAAAGCAAATTGAAAAGTAACTAGGACAGATGAAGATTTAAAAGATAAATCAGAACGAACTCGAGACATGATAGCCTTATGAGATTAAACACCAGAGCCCAGTTGTTCGAAGGTCGATTGGCGCTAAGCCAGGGTTAAATTTTTAATCCAGGTTTCTATATTTCTCTGTTCAAAAGCCGTTTTGGGATAATGTTCCCAATTCTTTTCAGAGCATTCAACCATCAAATTGTAGACAAATGGAATTGAACTGAATTTTCGTCTAAAGCTTTCAGATCTGAAATCAAATTTCACACTATCACTGGGTTATCTTAGCCCACCTTTGAACAACTCGGCCCAGGGCCCAGTTGTTCGAAGGATGGATAACGCTACCCACCGGGGACCCCTCTATCGGGTGGATAGCGTAGTACGTTTCCTCCACACTTATCCACCAGATGGCGTTATCCGCCTTTTGAACAACCGGGCCCAGTTAATTCGCACCCTTGGTAACATTGTGATGTGTTGCGTTCAAACTTGAGCATTAGCCATGCTTTGAGAAACAGTATTCTAATATATGTTGGGTTATGTGACGCAACAGAGCTTAGGTCGGCCTACGTTGAGTTACTAGATAACAGCGAATTGTTACGTTGTTGTAAAGAAATGCCGTGGGAAGAGTATGTTCTTCAAGAAGAGTCACTTAGCTACTACTTGGGTCGTTGTTAAAAGAACAGAAACAGCCTGTTTCATGTGTTTTTACTCGTTGGATTTATATTCCAACTTTTATTCATGGGACACAGTCGGATCTAGGGAAAGTGTCCCCAGAATTGAGAGCTTCGCGCTTGCTGAGGCTACTTTCTAAAGGACGTAAATGGACACCTGGATTTGGTCCCTTCTCTTTTCTCTCTTTACGTATATCTTACTTCGGGCAAGTTATTTTGACGTTTTCATAATAGCTTCAAGTTCAAACTCTTGAGAAAAGACGCTTCAATCTTGGCATCTTTGTACAGCATTTCACGGCTGTGCCCTTCTTTCCATTCGACTTCATCTTATATACTCTCGTTTCTACATGTTACTTCTCGCCTGGATAACTGTTTTGTTCAATTACTTTTGAGTTTTTCTCAGAATACTCAGTCTCTTGCGAACGTTAAGTTAATCATTGTAACTGTAAAACGATGTAATCTGGATTATATAAAGAGCTTATTATTACTTATGTCTAATAATATATCCACTATATTGGCAATACAATCGTGTATTATATGTACAGAACTGAATAATGATATATTAATAGCCTTCATAAATTAGACTCGTACCCAATTATTATTTGCTTTGTTGGATGAGAGAGAAGATTGGGCGCTATGACACCCGTTTCTTAATAATCTAGACTCGAGTCTTCTCTCACCTTAAAGGCACCGCTAACGACTGGGTATGAGTCTATTAAAATATGATAACCAAGCTTGACAAACTAGTGATTAAAAAGCTAGCAAGTGAGATTATAGTTATAAATAATTCTTTTGGACATCATGTTATCCGTTTTAAGCGAAACTAGCGAAGGTGAAGTAACTTAACGCGTTCAGGAATGCATTATTGCCGACATTCTTCGTAATTTTTGTAGAAGAAAACAGACTTTATCCAGGGGTGATTAGGTAGTTAGGATCGATGATGTTTAGAGATGGTTTATCAGCAGAATTTTAAAATGACTGTGTTATTTACAGCTTAGAGAACGTTTTATTATGACAACAGAGAAACTATTTCTTGTGTTTATAAAAGTAAAGGTATAGCCAAATATGGCGGCGTCAGTGCGGCTGTTTCCTTTTACTTGCGTTTACTTAACACTTCAACTCTTAGACTCGATAGCAAATTCTCCCTTCTCATCGAGAAACGTTTCCCTGCAAACTAGGGCGTCGGTAGAATTAGGTATATCCTCATTACCTGAATGCTAGTTGATACAGCCCTCTGAGAATAAGATCGCGAGAAGATAAATTATCAATCATTCCTTGGAGATATTTGGTCAATAATTTTTTCAAAGTTTTTAGGGAGTTGTTGGAAATTGTCACTAATTGGAAGGAAACAATTAGAAAACACCAAGTAAGGAAGACAAGGAACCAAAAAAGAAAGGGTGTTTCAGAAAAACTAATGCAAGAAAAGGTGGGGTTAAAAAAGTTAGATTAACCGCGCTCCGAATCCTTTGGCCACTTGGTCGAGGGAAGACTAGGCAAGAGACAAGCTATCGTCATTTGACAACTCTCTGTATATTCTTGGAAATTCTCCAGCCGAAAAAATAATTGGAATCAACGCTAGTTATCTCTGCTAAGGAATGAAGAGTAATGCATCATTCTATCAAAAATCAACCACCATGTAGCTCGAGTAAGTACACTATTGTCCCAATGTGATCTAGAAACAATCACATGTTTGCAACTGATGGCAACTGGCAGCCTCGAAGACTGGTCCATCCCCTCCCTCCCACCACCTTCTCACCCCCGGCCCCCCTCCCCCCGTTCCTTGCCCCCAACTCATGGGCCGGGTGCAAACTGATTTTTTTCTATCCAGCATAACTTGACTTCATGTAAGTTTTTGACAAGGAATATTTGATACTTCTGAAGGCTGGAACTGAGTTCTCTAGATAACTTTGAATTCTGAAAGGACCTATTGATAGATTGCTCTCTCGTTTGCGTGAACAAGTTTTACAGAAGATACGGATCCTTTCTACTTACTGCACACGTAGTGATCAATACACGTGGTACCAGCTGATCGCTACAAAAAAACACGCAGCCTGTTTCCATAGAAACATCTGGTCTATTGTTCTGTTTTGCGCGTGCTTAGTCTCGAAGGCTTAAAGGAGGTGAAGTGGCGAGGTAATGGAATATCGGTGTTTTTATCGCTAACATGAAAGGTACAGGTGTGTATCGATTTTCTCCCATTGGTGCAACATTTGCAAAGAAGGAAAAAGCAATGATCAAAGGTAATATCGATGTTACCGCTGGATTTCAAGACAATTTGTAGTTTAAAATTTTTACGCACGACCTACGCGCACAGTTCTTTTAAAACGTGAAGCCCATTCTTGTGAAACGTTTACGATTATTTATTTGTGCATTTACGCATAATTAATTTGTTTCAAACAGGAAACCCATGTGGCAAAGCAAAAAAGGGTTCCTAAATGCCATCTGGAATTTGAAAACAAACAAGCAGGTCACTTGAAGTTTGTGATTTCTTCAAGTTATCCCCTTCGCGTGTAAACCTTTTCGACTGTTCCGCTAAAATCTTTTCAATTTCTCACACTGTGATAACGATCAAGTGAGCGTTCTCGTCGACAGTCTTCCGCTTATGTCGTAAGAGACCCTTTTGTAATCAGTTTGCCCTTTAATTAAACTCGTTAAAGCTCTTTCCAAATGTGTCAAAATTTGATTACAGGATGAAACTTTTACCCATCATTATCACCTCCACTAATTTTTGACAAAATAATGAAAAAGCTTTAAAGATGTCAATCGGGATTTGGGTCTCTAATTATGATAATCTAATAGCTAATAGAATATCTATAACTTGATCTCGCAAGTCCTTCAGGGATCCTTAGAATTGAAAGAGACTCACAGCATAACAAAATTCAAACTAGTGATTTCCTTGAAAGATCCTCGCTAAGATTCCGTAAAGATCTCGCGATAACATGGTCCTAGAATCTTCAAGGACATTTAAATATCTTCAAAAGTCCTTAAAATTGTAATTTTTGATAAGGTTTTAATGGAGGCGTTGTGCTCTTTTTTCTTCCAGTTATATTTAGTTGCACTATGGAGTTAAAATGAGGAGTCCTCTTGGGCTCAGAGAGAAAGAGAAAATTTTACAAAGAGCCATCAAATCATGTCAGAGCTTCTTAAATCTGCGTGGTTTGCACATCGTCAGCATACCTCAAGAAATCTTTGCCAGGCCTCTGATTGAAAACTTGAAAGTCTTAGAACTAAGTTTTAATGGCCTCCATTCACTTCCCAGTTGTATCAGCCAACTGGTCTGTTTGGAGGAACTGTACCTTGGACATAATGACTTAAAGGTTTTGCCAAAAGAACTAGGGGATCTTCCAGCCTTGACAAGACTAGATATGGTACATAATGGTCTTCAAGAAGTCCCATTTTGCATTTCAAACTTGAGAACTCTAGAGTGGCTTAATCTGGCCGGGAACCTGGTGGAAATCATACCATTATGGCTGCTCCTCTTACCAAACCTTCAGCATTTGCACCTTGTTCATAACTTGATTGAAAACATCCCCAAGGATTGTTACCTTCAAGGGATAGATTGCATGCGCAATTACTTTAGATTGCCTTCCATTAGAGATACTAGTAATAAGAATTGCAACACAAATTTAATGCTATTATCTCCAAGGAGAAAATGTTTGACAAGACCAAAGCTATGCTCAAATACTTTGGACAGACCACTTTTGTTGTTTAAAGATGAACCTGGATTTAAAAAGTCAGTCTGTGAGCAGACCTCTCCTAGTTCAAGTTTTTCACAAATTAAAGATGATTCAATGATTTCTGCATCTTCACCTGTGGAAACTTCACCAGATAAATACATTGTGCAACATCAGCACATTGTATCCAATTTGGAAAGGTCACATCAGAGTGAACTGAGCCTCATCGCACAACAGACAAACAAGCTTCTTCACAAGCAAGAGCTCAGAAGAAAAAACATTGAATCCTTGCAAAAGATGAAAGACCAATATAAAGCTGTCCCATTTCCTTTCACAAGAACGAGGTTAGATTTTAGCCTGGATCTTGACAGTCTAGGCAGAAGAAGAACGAGATGTATGACCACAAGTGAATATGGAACTTGTTCCTCCATTACAGAGAGCATTGAAGTAAGAGAGCATTTGTTCCTAAACAGAAAAGATTCTCTTTCGAGTTTTCAGTCATCTACATCACTAGATGATGCTTTCAACAATAATTTGCCAGCAAATCTGAAGCAGAGAAAGCTCTCAAGTGACAGTGGCAGCTCATGTTTGAGTGAAATCTCTGACAATGACTGTTACATCAATGACTCTGACTTAGAGTCAGTTATTGACCGACGTAGACACATAACTTTAGGAGATATTTGTGTTATCATCCCAGAGGAAAATATCACCGGTCATATGCAGTCAGACTTTAATCTTGATGTTTTAGAGGATATGTCATTTGCTCCTAAACTCAAGAGGCGGGAAGTGCTTGCTAGTGAAGTTATTGAGATGACACCACATGGAGCAAAGTTTTACAAAGATGATCCAGCCATCATCAGTTTTCCGTTTGATGTCAAAGTTGGCAGGTACGATGTCGTCACCTGTCTTTGCAGCCACACTGGTATTGGGCAGAGAACAAGGTGGGAAATGATGAATCCAAATGACTACAAGGTCTTCGCTTCTCATGTAGAAATCAAAGCCTACCATTTCAGTCTTTTTGGGATTGTGGTAGCCAAAGGCTACCCTGAAGCTCACAAGACCATAAAAGCTGGTATAGGCGGTTGTCTGTACATACCTGAAGTCCCTGGAGTGGAAATTCTCTTCCCAGAAACATCGTTACTTCACGATGTTGAAGCATCTGTGAAGGTTCTTTATGCCGATGACCCTTATGATGTGGATCACTCTGACCCAGAAACATTAGCACTTGCTACGCCAGTCATTCAACTTGGTCCTCATGGCTGTTTGTTTAATCTACATTCTGCTGACTTTGTGACTGTGCGCCTTCCACTTCCGGATGGCAAAGAGATCTTAGAGAGGTATGGAGACAGGCAGCTCACATTTTGGTGTAGTTCTACAACAGAAGGAGAAGATCTCCAGTGGCAACAGTTCCATCCAAGGTTTTTCCACATAGACACTGATGACAGCACCCTATGCTCTGTATATTTTTCGGTGGAACATTTTTCTTTCTTCCGAGTTTTGTGGAACATCATTGATACCATCCTGTGGGAAGCAAAGCTAGGTGCTTCCAGTATCATTCCTGTGTTCCAATTTAATGTTTCCTTTCAAGCTCTGATGTCAGAAGTGAGTGAGAATGGGTTTAGGTTTGGCCTTTGTGTAGCGTGCTACAGATTTGATAAACCTTTGGAGGATGTTGGTAACTTTCCTACTATTGTTGGTAAATGTATTACACCAAGATTGCTACGCACAGGAAAACTGCAAATCAGGTGAGCTTAACTAGAGTGTATAAAATAAAATGTGTGCCTTATAAATGTGCACCAACATGCCTGGGCAGTATTTTTCAATACTGGGGTGCAACAGTCAGTCCAAAATTTGCATTATAAGGGCCACTGCAGTACACAACTTTATTTCTAACTCACATTTACAGAATTGCTAAGTAGCTAATATCTGCAAGAGTATTTAATGTAATGTAATTTGATATTTAACATTGACATAATGTTTTGAAAACCCCAATTGGCAGGTAGTTTTAATATCAACTGAAGGTATTCTTCTTTACACTTAAGCAAGGAAGTGTGTCATAGGCCTCAGAATCGTCTCCTTGACCTCTCCCTTTTCATCTCTACAATATGAACCATCTTCCGATTAGCTTAATTGGTTAGAGCACCGGACTGTTGTACAGTAGGTCAAGGGTTCAAGCCCTGGCTGGACCAACACTCAAGGTCTTAAAAGTAACTGAGGAGAATGTGCTACCTTTCTATAATATTGAGAAATGGATAGACATTCTAGTCTTCTTGGATAAGGGAAAATAAACTGTAGGGTCCCGTCTCTTGCATCTATTAATTAGTTAATTTGGTTAGGCAGGGGGCATTAAAGAACCCACTCACTAGATTACTGTGATGTGGTCTGACCCTGTTTACTGGGAATTGGGGGGGGGGGACATCTTCAAATAAGTTTCCTTTGATTGATATTGTACACTGCTGATGCGGTCCAGCCAAAGTCCCTCGAAAAGTGTTGTGATGCGCCTAGTTGAATATTGTATAGAAAAGGCACAATAGAATAAATATTATCATTATTAATTTGCAGTCAGCAGCGTGTAGAATTAGAAGAAAAGTCATCTGCAAAGAGCAGATACTTTTGAAAACCCTTCTTTATTTGGCACATAATTAAATGAACAAACCCCAAAACTAGTTGAAGATTGAGGAGTGTAATGAGATTTTCCTCCTTTATCTTTTCAATGCCTTTTCTTAGTGCTACTGAACCCTTTCATAACTTTAAGCAATGTCAGATTTCACCTCTCTCCTTAGCTTAAACCTCAATTGATTTAATATTACAATTCACGTTGTTATTAACTAAACACTTTCTTCAAACCATATCCTATTACAAGGTTGGAATCAGATCATTTCAATGCAGACACCTCAATTGGCATAAAACATCTTATAGCTGTGGAGAACTTCACTGGCCGTCCATTTGTGATTCAGTTTGGATGCCGATTTAAGGGAGAGCCACCATATGGAAACTTTGGAAATGTTTTTTTGGAGCAACAATCAGAGTTTGGTGATTACAAGCCAGTTTTATCTTTCCTCTTAAATAAGGTAAGCTTTCTTGAACAACCACAACTTATATTTGTATTGTATTTGTATTTGTAGATTCTTACAGTGTACAGGTGAGAGAGCAGTAGGACACGTTGTCCCCTACTAGGTTCATCTGCCTAAACCTACCCCAACCCACCCATCCCACCCCAGGGGAGGACTTCCATCACACAGTAATCTCGTGAGTGGGAAATTAACGTCTCCTACCCCTAACCCTGCAGGAGAGAGGACCTCCATTTATTTGTCCCTATCCAAGAAGACTAGATTATCTAACCATTTCTTGATGTTATAGAAAGGTAGCATATTCTTCTCAATTATTTTAAGATCTTGAGTGTTGGTCGGGTTGGGGCCCAAACCCTCGACCTCCCACAACAGTCCAGCACTCTATCCATTGAGCTAACTGGGAGAGATTCATTTACAATGGAGAATAGCCTAGCTCACCAAGGAATTCTCTGTAGCTTACCCCTTTTTTATGGTAAGAAGGCAAACCTATGTCCCCCAGAGATTCTCTCTGGGGCCATAGGTTTTTTCTATGTACCACACTCTTAAGAAAATCAATAACAACTTTCTCTAATTGAATACTTAGCATAGAATGTACATCTTTCTTACACTTTGAATCAATGAGAATGACATCCCTGTGACTATACTTACTGCACATGTAGTTGATGACTTTGCCCCAGGACAATTAATTTATATTTGAACTCTTCATTGCAGCCTCGTGATGCTAATGATGCTGATAGCTCTCTTGATTGGGAAGTTCAGTTAACCAAGGAACTAACAAATGTGCTTAGTATCAAGCCTGAAACAGACATGGGCGATGAGGTGTGGCATGAAGTTGCTGAACAACTGGGTTATACCCCACGCGAGATAAGCAATTTCAGCGCAAATGACAACCCAATGGCAGCAGTCATCACAGACTATAAAAGACGTGGTGGAATACCTCATCAATTCATCACAGCTCTTTACAAAACTGGTTCCCCAGGAAATGTAGTGAAACAGAAAATGAATAGCAACAGAATGGGATCAGCAAGGATGGTGGAAGAAGACATATCAGGTGAAAGTTTGTATTTGACTGTGTAATAATCCAGAGGCTATTGTAAGTAAATTAAACATCCAGGTAAACAATGCTTGTGATGTTACTTTGGAGAATTTTGAATTGTATCAACTAATAATTCCCGAGTCAATATTTTCCTTTATTCTCATTACTTGTCTGCTTGATGTTGTCTTGATATTGTAAGGAGAAATTCTGTCTTGGTCACTCATGGGAGTTAAAGGGTGAATCCTCTCCCCACTCATCATAGCAGAAATTTTTCTTCCTCTCTCCAAGAATTTTCAACATCTTTGGTAAGGGTACACTGTAGGGTTATTTCTAGGAGATTCACATTTGGTCAAGAGCAGGGAATCAACACTAATGGTCGCCAACTAGCCACAGACTAGTAGAAATTCAGTTCTGGGTAGTGGTTTTTTATTTCCATTAGCCAGTTTGGCTAGTAAACAGACTGAAATTGTCATGATATCTAAGTTGTCACTAGCCACTTTACTGGTAAGTTGAAAAGAAAAAAAAAAAAAAAAGTCTTTTTATAGGATTTCACAATTACTGGTGAACCAGTAGTTTCCATTGTGGTCCTTGCAAACAAATGAAACAAATGGTCTAAATTGAACATAACATTAGTGAAAAAGAAAAGTTAGTGTCAAGCCCGGAAGAGACACAGATGTTGGTTTATAAGATTTAAAATGTTAGAAGTAATATGTTATTGAAGAGGCACTTCACTTGTTTTCATCCTAGGGATATCTCTGAATGGGAGGTGTGCTTTAGGAGAGAATTGGCTTCCATATTGTCTGAGAAGAGACAATTTTTAAATAGAATCCTTGTTCTATTTCGATGCACAGACAAATCCAAACTAATTTGACCAACCAGTTTGACTGAATGCCCAAATATTTTGCTCTGACAGAAATGGAACCCAAAATGTGCCCTTGTGTAAAGAAGAATGCTCGCAAAAGGCGACTGCTTGAATCTGTCAATTGGGAAGAGAAATTCCATGACCTTTCACGACACATTAGAGAATGGAAACAGCTGGGCCGAGAGTTGGGTGTTGGTGATACCAAAATAAAAGAGATCGAACACGACTGCCACAGGAATAACGATAGCTTGTATGAAAAGGCTTATCAAGTGCTTTTAGCATGGCGAGATTTGTGCCCAGATCGTTGCAATCTAAACACCCTTTCTGATGCATTATGCAAAGTGGGGCTCGGTTATGCTGCAAGAAAATACTGTCTTGCTGTGGAGATGGGTTGATATCAACCATTGGGAATCCTTAGACTTCATGTAAATTATTTTTGTAAGTGCTGGTAATCTGGTTTGTAGTGAGTAGAGGTTGCCAACTGTTGACTGTCAAAATTGCACTTCCCCTTGTCCATGTAGTTAATACTGATTGAGAGATAAAAAGTAATGGTCAAACAATGACACCAGAGGTGTGTGTTTTTTCAATTATTTATTTTTTGTCCTAGTAATAGAAAAAACATAGTACCATGAGTGGAGTGAGATAGGGGATTACAAGAAAAAGTTTCTTTGTTTCTTAAAAGAAAAGGTGTTGTATTCTTATTTAATGAGATGTAAATTTAAGTGAATTCAGTTTTAGCAGGAACTTTCTTCAGTTCCCTACCTTCATCCATAAGTAGAACACACTTCTCAATAATGAAGGACAATATGATTGTCTGAGATTTGCATGCTTACTATGTGCATTAGCTGTAAATACTTATTTCCTTGAAATAATTTTTACATGTTGAGCATAATAGGAAAACCGAAAAAATTTTTTGTACATCAGATGCATTGTCTCAAACAATTTTTTTAAGACATACACCATACAGGTAACCCAAGACGTCAGTAACATCAACTTTTGTATAGTTTTCTTTTTAACTAACATTCAAGAAGGGTCAGCTGTTCTCAACACTTAGCTGAAAAGAATTAATTCACCTTTCTTTGAATTGCTGTTAAGTAGTTTTATTTTCCTTTCAAAATTCAGGTGCACTTTTTCAAGGCATCACCTCATGCAAATGAAACCTCCAGTAAACCTATTTTTACTTATTTTTTACCACTATAATTATTTTTAGTTGGTAACTATCCTGTGAGCTGGTCTCAGCACAAGCACTCTGCAAGTCAGAGGAGATTTGTGCCAGGATGCTTTTATGCTTACAGACTGCCATTACATATGTGTTGTCAATTGTGTCTATAATTGTAAATATTAAGTGGTTTGTTCTTCAAAATCTACTTTCCAATGTTTTTAGCCGTTTTGAACAACATATCTAATAACTCAGGTAAAGCATGATGGTTTTTGTACATTATTTTCAAAGTTTTTAATATGGACACTTGTTTGTGATAAAGAAAAGAAGTTACTTTTATGTGACAAAATGTTAGTACACTGTAAAAATTTTTGTATAGAAAAGAGCAAAGATATAAATGTAATATTTTTTGTCTGCAAGTAGTTTTGGAACCATTGTGAACTTAGCAAAAAAGAAAAAAATAGTGTGAAGTAATATATTAAAAATAATGTTAGCAATAAAGAAACAAAGCAAAATCAAAGTATTTGTCTTTCTGTTATTCAAGGTTTTCTGTTGGTTAGTTCTTGGTCATTTCATCCATTTCCTTTGCAAACACAGCTTTGAGTGGTTCCACAAGTTGTGGAAGTTTTGAAAAATTGCTTGAATGAACCTGTCAAAGAAGTCAATGGAGAAAAAAGTATGTTCCTATAACTAAAATTTTGGCTGACTGGACAATAAAGCAGAACGTACAATCAGTATAACTGTAAGAAATGCACTACTTTACTACGTTTTTTGAAGGAGGATTGATACTAACCCATGGGTCGCTTTAATCCTTTTTTCAGATTAAAGCCTTCTTGGATTTTTTTTTTTTTGAAGCATCTGATCATCAAATTGTAAAACTACTAACCACACAAGACTATGTAATATGTAATAAAATATCCTTGATCAGGGATTTCAAAAACTTATTCCATAAGCAGCTGTAAAGGGCCATAAGGCCATACATAAGGCAAACCCAAACATGAAGACTGCTCGCAGGCTGAACAGATGGTAGTAATAAGTCTTATTGGCTACAGTGGACTGCTGGAAACTAGCTTTTATTGAAACCCCTCAGTGATTTCTCTACAGTTTCAATTGTTAGTACCTTCATGTGATCAAATGCAATGCCAGTACACTTTGTAAACTGTTCACTGAACACTGGGATTTTAGGATAACGTTGACTGAAGTGATTCAATATGATAAGCTTTGCACCCATCTCCACACCACTTGTGATTGCCTCAGTTGTTGTACTAGTCAGAAAAGAAAACAAACACACATGTAAAACACTGAAAAAAAACAAATAACTGGAAAGAGAGAAACATTTAAAACAAAACAAGTTACCATTTTCATTCCAAACACCATCACAATGTCCATAAAAATCACAAGTATTCTCTAACTTGAACAAAAGAGAATTTCCCCCACCCCACCCCTTCTCCTATCTTATGTCAAACATGGACCAAACCTCAGGAAAGGTCTTCAAATTGATTTACACTTTTTCATCAAATGAAAACATACACTGGAAATTGTTCATAGTTTTCTGCATTATGATGAAGTTGAATGATCATTTACTTCTTTTACTGTCCTCTGACTAATCCTAATCCTTGTTAATCAAACCTGTGCTTTTTCTCAAGAGCTTCACTCATCAATTCATCTTCTAGAGTGGCTTCATGAATGAGGAGATCAGCACCTTTTCCTGAAAAATATTAACATTTTGAACTATTGTTGCACACCTGTAATCATCGCCACAGTGTTGACAAGTTCTAGCAAAGAAAATTTAAGACTGATCTTGCCTGTTTTGCTAACAGCCAGTACAAAACTGGTATAGTTTTATTCAAAAGTTTGACACATCTGGCCTTACTGCAAAATGGATCAACTTCAGAAACTGGAATGTAACCATAATTTCAGGGTGGTTTGTTGCCAAAGGAAGGCATCACTCCTCCTTGCCACATACTAAGAAAATTGCAAGCTGTAGGAGTGATGGTCACTTAGCTAGTGCGCAAAAGAGAAGGGAATTTTTTGAAAGGGTAGCATCTCTTCATTCCTTGTACCTTCTTTCACCCTTACAAATGACTTACCAGCCTCAATCAGTGCTGGGCAAGGTCGTGTATCACCAGAGTAAACAATCTTCCAGCCATGATTGTGTGCTATAACCAAGCCAAAGGCCTGTGGACAGTGATCTACAGGTACTGTTAAAACCTACAAATAAAAAAAAAACCCTGACATAAACTTCTGAGCATTATTATTAGTATTTGTGACTTCCAGGCCACTATAGTTTTACTTCAACACACCAGTGTATTGCATGTTTTGCTACTATATTATCTGAAATTCTGCATGTTTTCTGACCAGGACACAACTTTCACATTACTCAATTACCATGAATCAAACATGATATAGGTGTAAGAATCTTTTGAAACTCACCTCTCTTGCATCTAAGCAATCTGTAACAAACTGGTAATCTTCATACCGGCCTTTTATAACTAAGTCCCTGCTGTCCACAAACCTAGCAAAAAAGATTATCAATCAACATAAGCAAACTCAAGAAATTCATTGTGATGATCACCTCTGGCTATGTGATTGTGAGTCACTTCTAGTCACATGTCCAATAGCTTCTGTGGTTACACAGTGGTTTTGTTAAAATTTGTTGATCTGTGTACTTTAGCAACCAATAACACAATTGTATTAAACATTGATTCATTCCTTGTTATTAACTTGACAGAAGCAACTGATAAGTAACATTTCTAAAGAATAAAATCCAAGTCCCCAATGAGGGATTCAGACTTAGTTGGAGAGTGACATCTGATATAAAGCAGCAGTCAAGGACTTGGAAAAGTTTAATAAGATTTCATAACTACTGACAAGATTATTACATAGCTATTAATAATCATAAAATACAGCCAACAAAATGAGGAAAATTTTAAAAACCTGTACTCAATGTCCTCACAGAATCTGTTATACTCCTCCAGCCATTTTCTTATTTTGGCAGGACCAATGATTACCAGATCATCTGCAACATCACTTTCCTACAATAAATTTGACTTAACTATAAACAAGTTTTTAAATGTATAACCTCATAAATCTTTATCAAACAAAACTGGGATTTAACTTAAGACAAAATCCCTACCATATCTATAGTTTCTCTTTTCTTTAAAATATGGATAAGACCCTGGGGGTAGAATGAGAGAAAAGAGATAAAAGTAACAATTTGAACAAAACAAAACAAACAAACAAAACTAGAAAGCCTAAAAATAACTAAAAACAAGCATTTAAGCTTTGAAAACATACATTCATGTAACATTCAATAAACCCCTCGTTTTCATTTATAGTCATAATTTTCAAGATATAATAATTATCATTATAAGTTGTAAATCTCATAACAGAAAGTGCTCCACACAAAAATGTTCCCAGCAAAAGGAAAAAACATTGTGTAATATTTTTTACATTAAACAGATATTTTCCTGCATAATCCTTCCATTGATAAAATTCTACATACAGGACTAAATACCTAATAACTAACTAAACAATATTTTTTTGCTCTTTGTGAGAAGCCTGGCCACATTTTCTCATCTTTGTCTGGCAATGTAGGTCAACAGTCTATTGCTGTACAATAACTGTTTGACACTGTTTGATCCTTTCAGTCCCTCAGATCTCATTTGGTAAAATTCTCCTTGCTAGTTTCCATGTCAGTTTGGATAATTGCCTCTCTTGCTTTATTCCACTTTAAAACTACAAATGTTATTATTTAAGGAAGAAATAAATAAATACAAAAGTGAAAGAAATACACATCCGAATGTAGCAAAACTAATCGAGTCGGGTGGTTGCAGACAATATTAGAATAATGTATTATATCAAGGAGGTTGAAAATAAAAATTACAAGGAGATTACAATATAATTGTTAATTTAGAGAAGTGAAATTGATTCGAGCAAGTATATGATTATGAGTAACAACGAAGCAAATAAAAGTAAATTAAAGTATGAATAGTTTACAGTAGGTTATTGATATAAAAGGTGCTATTTTAGTTCCATAAGTCCAGCAGTCATTTTAGCAACAATCGTTTTTTTTGACAATTGATAATTTGGCATTGCATCAAGTTATAATCCCCTAGTTGCCATTTTTCTTTACTCTCATCTCTTGTTTGCTTAATACTGTATTGATATTGTATGGAGAAATTCTGTCTTCTTGCAGTTTAAGGGTTAACTGACTCACTAAATGCCTGGCCCTTGTTGTTCAAAGGATGGATAACGCTATACACTGGATAAATCTCTATCCGTTGGATGGCGCAGTACGTTTTGGTAACACTTATCCTCTGGATAGCTATTTACCTGTTGTATAGCTTTATCCGCCCTTTGAACAACCTGAGCCTCGTTGATTATTCATGGTTAGTTATTGTAACAAAATCAACCTTTATCAACTAACCAAGTGATGATCAGCATGAATGTGAGATATGAAAACACATTTGAGCCGCCTCAGTACACGGTCCAGGTATTTACCATAATGTCGATAGAGCTGACCATAGGTACCTTCACCACAGTCAAGGAGTATGGAGTCCTTTTCACTGTTCACATAATTAAACAATTGAAACCAAATTATTATTAAGACAAATTGACATTTTAATGCTGAACAACTACTTGAAGTTCAAGTTCAAAAACAACCACAATGCACAATAACTTATAATAAGGCTTCTGTCATATGTTTGAAAGATTTTCAAACAATCAATTTTAAAGTAGAAACATGTAATTATTCGCTACCTCTCTTACCTCATGTTGATCAATGTTGAGCTGACATTTCTGTATTTTGATGGAATTGCTGATCCAGTTCCCAAGAAAACTACCTCATACTCCTTGTGTTCCCTTTCCCATGCTCGTTCCTTCACTTTCATTTGAATTCTTTCACTCAAACTAGAACCACGCCTTTCAGTGCCCAATAGATGTACTCCAACAGCTTCCAAGCTGTCTATGAGCGCATTCCCAAAATTAATTTTTGTATTCCTATTTGTAGGTGGACTCCTGATTAAATCCTTCACCACTGACGCACTGGTGGTTGGTGATAACCGGGAAGTACCTGCTGCTGATGATAATTCCTTTTGTTCAGTACTTCTTTGCCCAAAGCCTCTTTCACTTGACACCTCTTTAGACTGTTCATTCAAGAGTGTTTGAGTTTCTTTAATGATTGAGTCCACATCTAACTTCCCTAGTACCTCAGACCTATCAAATCCTTGATGCTTGCCTTCTCTGAGATAAAACTTGAGTAAATTTTCTCCAGCAAAGCAATTTTTTGGTAAGTCATCTTGATTTATTGCCTGAAAATGGATGTGGATGGTTACAGTATCATTAAATTATGTATTTGAACCGGCTTTTTGATGCACACCAAATATTAAAACCAGCATCTCCAACTGTGACCACTTTGACATCAACCATTTGAAGTCCTTACCACCTGTGACAACTTTCAATTCATTAAGAATGGGTCGATGCCTTATTATCCTATCAATAGTGATCCCCTGTTTAATGCTTCTCAAACCGAGAAAACAAAGCAAAACATTTTTCAGAGAAGAGAGGTAAAAATAACAGTACTAGACTGAGAGAAACTGTCTATACTATTCCAAAATGTTAAGATATCAGAGGGAATGAGTCAACTATTTTGTTACATATGACAGCTTCAAACACAAGCTTTAATTATACATATTTCTTATTAGACATTTTGTTGTGTAGTATGGCTGAGTGTTATTACGAGTTGTGCCGTATTTTGACAAGCTTGTAGGGTGAGTCAAAATACAGACAACAAGTAAAAATACTCAGCGATACTACAAAACAAAACGTCTAATAAGAGATTTATCATCCAACACAACAAATTGTTAGCTCAGTGTGGGCGAATTTCGAAGATATTTCTGGAGTACAAATATCACATCGTCTCGTGCGTTATTTGTACTCTACAAATCACAGTTGGATAATAATACCAAGTAATCTACCCTAATCAAAACTGCAAGCTGACAACCAAGAATACCCCTGAATACACAACCTGCCAGCATCCACAGTACTAATTTATGGGTTTGCCATATTTCACTAACCAGTCTATGCTAGCACTTATTCCCTCAGCTAATACTTACAGGTGTGTCCATGGTTTCCAATAAGGGAAAAATCTCTGGATCTATGGTGTTTAATTTACACTGTACAGTTGCTTGAGCCTGAAACACCAGGGGGGCTGCACACACATCCTTGTTAATCAACAGATGACACACCTTGTCTCCAAACCTATGGTTTTTATAATAATTTTGAAATTGTGTCTCATTCAATATTTCACACCACACATTTACGGAAGATGGTTCATAACAGGAAGTACATGTAATAGTTCAGTAAGTTGCATTAAAGTCAAGATTTACCCAGTGATTATTTTACCTCAGGTTGTTGAAAAGCAAGTTAATTTTGCCAACAGCCCCAATTCTTTCACATTGGCATTCACACTTCTTGCTCAAAATCACTTATTCAATAACCAATTTGAAAGAAAATCAATACAAAAACAAAGATGAACAGTACCAACCCTTTCCTCCAGTGTTCGTATTCTTTACTTTGGAAAATAGCCATTGGTGTCAGATGTACAATAATCACAGGTGTTAAACATGGCCCTTGTTCCCAGTACTTTTTGAGCTGCTCATTGGAGACCAATAACTGAATAAATGCCACTGTGGGACATTCAATGATAAGAAAAACAGATCCAGGCTGAGCTCGTCCCATTACTTGCTGAGGATGCACCTGAAAAAAAATTAGTATGGAATTACCTGTGTGTCTTTAGACAATGAATTGTTATACATGATATTCTCTTATATTTAGAATGTGCACTTTGTAAAAATGAAAAATGAGTGTCACAAATACCTCTCAAGGATTTAATTTGATTGGTTGCTGGTTAGTACCATTTTTTATGAAAGTTTCTTGAGTGAAAATAATTAGAGTGTTTCTTTCATTGTGCTGTTAAGCAAAGAATGTGCAATTGAGATTTAAAACTGACCTGTTGTCCATCTTCCAGGGTAACTACATTCCCAGAAACAAGGTCTTTAAACAAGGGTCCTTTTGGTACACCAAGCTCAATGGCTTTCTTAGGGAAAAACTTCCCAGGTAGAGAGGAAAGCTGGCAGATGTAACAAACTGCAGTGAATGTCTCAGGACTGTCCATCTTTGCTCTTTTAACTGATCGCAGATCATCTACATCACTCAAAGTGGACGAATCATCTCTTGATTTCACAGCACCATCTACAGGGTATTTTGAAAGAGACAGACTTGAAACAGTAGTTTTATGCCTCTATTGGCAACTGCAAAAAAAACCTTGTGATCCCTAAGAGTGACTGGCATCTAATTTCTCCTTACAATATCACCCCTGAATCATTGATCAAGGTCAGGAGAATAAAGGAAATGATCACCAATAATAATAATAGTACTAGCACTAGTATCGCAGAGGTCAGTGGTTCGAGTCCCGTACAGGCCTGATTTTTTTCAGGTCTGAATTTCGCTATTGCTCAAATAGCGCTATCTACTGCGAGGATCATCCATCATACATAATAATAATAATAATAATAATAATAGTAATAATAATAATATAGATCGATTTCTACAGTGCATTTCCATATAAATACTCTAATGCGCTTTACAACACTGTGCGGGGGACTTTTCCAGACTGCCAGTGGCAGATTACAATTAATAAAGGAGAAATTTTACAGATGCCCCCTCCCCCCATTCCCAGTAAACAGGCCAGACCACATCACAGTAATCTTGTGAGGTGGGTTCTTTAACGTCCCCTGCCGAAATTAACTAATTGATAGGTGCAGGAGACGGAAGGAAGCCCTACTTGACTTGATTGCTGAACAAATTCTCCCTTTAAGCTTCTTTAGAAATCTAAAGAGAACAGTATGGAGAGAACATGCATACTGAAGTTGGGAATTTATTAAGGCTAAACTTCATAGGTTCAAATTATTTTCTGCCTATGTTGATATCTATTTATATGAAGGCAATTAAATGTAGGTAAACGATTGAAAGATAGAAATTCATTGCTTGCACTCAGTAGGGACAGATGAAAATGCAAAATAAAAATACACCTTCAAACAAACCATTTAAAAGAAGAGGCCATATTGTTATATTTTCATCTTCATACTTGTCCTCATCTGTCCCTGTGAATCCAACACAATCAAACTTCAAGTTTTCACGCTGCAAGAAAAATCGTGTGGCATAGATGAAATGAGACAAGGTGCTGGGTCCATGAAGACGAATGTCTGATTTGCCAAAGTCCCTAAATGTCAGTGCAAGTCCAGGCAGACCTCCAGTGTACTCCCAACATATCCGCGTGAAGAAAACATTGTTCACTTTTGAGAGTCTCAGCTTGTGTTCAACGCATAACCGCTGAGTTGCCTCTCCACAATTGAAAAGATATCTGTCAATAACAACGATATAACAACATCAACTAGTGAATCAATCATTCAGTTATTCAGTCAACAATTCATCAAGTTATTTGTCAACTGAATAATAACAAATCCCTCCATCAACCACCCAGTCCATCAATCAATCAGGCAGTCAGTAGGTCAATCTGTCAATCAGTCTGTCAGTCAGTCAATCAGTCAGTCAAACAGTCAAGGTTATTCTGTATCAATCAGTCCATCAATCAGTCCATCAGTCAACCATTCAATCAATCATTCAATCAATCAATCAATCAATCAATCGGTCGATCAGTCATTCAGTTGATCAATCAGTCAATCAATCAGTTAATTAGTCATTCAGTCAATCAATCAATCAGTCAGTCAATCAGTAAGTGAATCAGTCAATTCATCAATTAATTAGTCAAACAGTTAGTCAATCAATCATTCAATTTGTCAATTAATCAGTCAGACAGTCAGTCAATCATTTAATCAATCAATTCATCCATCAAATCATCCACCTGGGTCCATCTGTCACTCGGTCAATAACTCAATCAATCATTTTATCTGATCTTTTTAAATGTGACTTCGAATCTCGGGTCAAAATAGACAATAGTGGTAGCTAAATGCTTGAAGAAAAAGTAACTTAACACAAATAACAAAAATCATATTCATTTTGATTTTTTTTTAAGATATCAGCGTACCTCTGAGAATCAGCAAACAGATATAACGATGGACTAGTATCACCAGTTTCTGTTCCGACAACTTGCAGATAAACATTTGGCGTTGGTTTAGACGTACTCAGAGACGCTGCCATTAAATTACACGTTCTCTGTAATTGAAACTTCCTTAATATTAGCAAAACCCTCATTCAGAATGAAGGCAAAAACGTATTGGAAGATTTCACGAGATTGCTGAACGCCATGTTGAATTTTACTCCTTATGGAAGAAACATTCTCTCTTACATGACACAAAGTGATGGCAGCGAACGACCGCTGGTTACCATTTCGTTGCAAGGATCTCTCGATCTTATGCGGCAGGATTGCGGCAGTGAGTGTGGCAACCACGAGCAAACCAAACAATAAAGGTCCTTCAACTGTGAAAACATTTGTGAGCATGAAGGAAGCTGTAATATCTTTAACTCTCTTACCCCTCAGATTTACTAGCGTCTAATTTCTCCGTCTGATGTCACACCAGAATTACATTCAGGTCACGAGAATAAACGAAATAATCACCAGCCAAAGAAACTCTTGATTGTTAAACAAATTCTCCTTGTCAGCTCCTAAGGAGAGTAAAATGAACGGTGTGGAGAATACGCATACTGATGTTAGGTTACAAAGGATTGATAGCAGCTCACATGAGAGAATCTTTTTTTTTTTTTTTTTCATGTCTATGCCTTGATTTATGTTGGATTGTACCAGTAAATAGCAGATTTCAAACTACAGAATCATAACGAAGATGTTTACCTTCGGTTCATCATTTTTGGAATTAACTATCGACTGAGTTGTAAGATGTAACTTAGCGACGTAAAGAGTTTATAAGGATGACATTTCGACCGTTAGCCCATTGTCATGATTCGCTCTGACGAAAGGCTCACGCTCGAAACGTCGGCTTGAGGAACTATTTACGATGGCAAGTTACATTATCCGAATCAGTCGATAAAACTCAATTTTCTCGTGATAATGCCATCGACGTAGCACCACAGTTTTTTCTAGAAACTTGCCCTCTTTATTACCTTGTCGATGTCTTATTAAAAGGGTGAAATGGGGAACGATACATTCGCGATTCAGCAGGCATGTGTTTTGCATTCAGCATCATGAATACATAGGTAAGTAAACACTGTTGTGTTGCCAGTAATAGGGACTGAAATAAAACCACAACGGTGGCACAAGAAAGATGACCACGAAACAAAAGATTTCTGAACTCTCCATGTAAAATGGCACGGTGAAGTCGTATAATTTGAGTAGTCAGATTACGGGACTCCCGACAACAGTCCACATATTACTCACTTTTCTACTTCATAGCTCATGGGTAGTAACGCCCGACTGGTATCTAAGAGTGACTTGTCGACTGAATCCCTTAGAAGCCTGCATTTTTTTCAAGCTTTTTTTCTGCAAATTTTCAAGTACAAAGCTTCTGAAAAAATTAACACCTCCATTAGAATTAAAATGTTTTATTTAAAAGACTTAACAGATAACCCTCATATCCTAATTTTGCTGCATCTTTTATTAATTTCGTCAAGAATATGCACAGATGTTCCATTTGCACGTTCGCTTTTAGCCTTATTTTACAATTCAAACACGAAGTTGTCATTTTTCACTTATAATTTTCTTATTTACAAAGTCCTGTTCCATATTATCGGCCTTAATTCAGTAGTTCAGTAGTCAAAGATGTGATAAGAAGTTAATTTTTGGATGGGCCAAACCTAATGCCTAGATTTCGAGGATTTTCGTTTTCTGCATTAGTTTAAAGGGACTCTTGAATTTGGAATGAAAACATAGCTTTTATGTACGTATGATTGCAGCCATTAAATAATTTTGTTTCCAGTACCCGACATCTCTGTAATGCAAAAAAGCTGAATTTTCACAAAGGGTTCCATTTATAACCATGACAACTATAATTATAGTTTAATTCCCAGGTGGGCAATTAAATACCCCAAACAAAGTTACTGCCATTTTCAACAGTGAACCACCATTTTAGTGAAGTGTAGTTACGATAAAATAATGAATGAAATGTTCTGTGAAGAGTACACGCAGTATTTTCCCTCCGCCATCGAAATCAGTGATTTCCGATGGACTTACTTTGCTAATTGTCTTCTGAACATTTTCTTAACTCATACTGCTATTATGCTGAATATTATGACGATTTACGCTATACGGAAAACTTCGATGCTGTCAAAGACAATGAGAACATTGCTGCTGAGTCTTGCAGTTTCTGATGTTGGTGTTGGTCTGTTTGTTCAGCCATTCTATTCTTCACTGCAGGTGAACTGGGTACAACAACAGAGCAATCCAAGCTGTGATACGTTCACGGCCTTCATGATAATCAACATTACTTTTTCTGTAGCTTCGTTCCTGAGTGTTGTAGCTGTTGGTGTAGACAGGTTCTTAGCTATTCATTTTCATCTTCGGTACCGGGAACTTGTCACTCAGAAACGTGTTGTTGCTGTTGTCTTATCAAACTGGCTTCTGAGTGCATTTGTTTCTCTAATTATACTCTGGGCTCCTTTCAGTGCTCAAAACCTAATTCTTTCAGCTGGTGGAATTATATGTTTTCTTGTCACAGCAATGATTTACATTAACACTTATTCAGTGGCTCGACGCCACAAAGTTCAAATGCGGTCCCTGCAAGTACAGCAAAGAGAACGCATCGATGAAATGGCAGATTTTGCCTGCCAAATCAAGTCTGCTGTCAGTTTGTTCTACGTATACCTGGTGTTTTTACTCTGCTTTGTTCCTTTTTACGTCTCCGTGGCTTCTATTAAAATTCACGGTTCGAGTATAATATTGAAAAGATTTTATCTTCTCTCAGTGACTCTGGTTTTCCTGAATTCATCGCTGAACCCTATAATTTACTGTTGGAAGATACGACACATCCGACGGACCATCATGGACTCACTGAAGAGCATGTCTTGGAACAGGAATTAGCCGTCTTCCTAATTAACTAAATACGGTTTTCAAAGAAGTGTAAGAAAGTGATTATGTTCCAGGTTTGCTCAGTTTGGTTTTATGCAACTTCGCCTTGCGATTGGTGGACAAAACTCACGCCACTTTTACAATGAATAAGATTGAAAAGTGAGAAAAGAAATCTCGATTTCGTCGGATTTGCTTTTCTCTATGCTTACGGCGGTTTCATTTACTTTTTTCATTTTTATAAACATTCTCATTATTTGTTCCGGTGGTATCACCTCTACGTTTCTGATGAGCTATGGAGATAACTTTGGCTTTTGGTTATACAACACTCATTCATAATACGCTCTATGATCAGAATGATTATCAGTTCAGTATGGAACCGTTTGTTTTGAAGAACTAAACCACGTTGTGTAGCGAACAAAAAATTTCCGATCATCACTCCAGACTTGTTTTTTCTGTGTGTCTTTTTTAAGACAAATGAAAACGAATGTAAACTTCTCTACGTCGAATGTCTTTACGCTCAACATCTGAGGTTCGTGTTGGTCTCTTATGATCTCTTTCTTTATATAAAAGTTACTTTTGTACAGCATATATACAGGTTCTTTTACCTATATTCCCCCAGGGTTGTTTTTGTGTAGTTCCCAGACCATCTCTCCTGCGCGATTGTCCGTGAAGACAAGTCTGGGAAAATTAATGTCTTCTCTGGTGATGTCACGGATATTAGGGTCTTAGTTTAACGGACCTGTAAAATTTGAGGGATTGGGCCGGAGTTTTATACATGATTTGTATAAAAATCCGGCTTAATTCATCGGTTAAAATTATCTATTTCCAACAGATATAGTTGACTCAGGAGCGTCTCCCAGCCACCTTTGTTTGCCGTCATGATCGTGTTTCCATTCTAGGGATTGTCCAAGGGAGAGTACTTCCAAAAATAATTGTTGTGGATGACATAAATCATTATCTGATAACCTGTGCGAAAGTGATTCTCATCAGTTTGACTCTGATAGTGACATACGGTAATGGGGTAAATATGTCCGTCTACAGCCAAGAGCAACTCTCAAGTTTAAGTTTTAAGTTTAAGTTTAGTTTAAGTTCAATTAATTCGCCACATGAATGGCAGGAGAAAGGAACAGAACTTTCGTTCCAGTTGACACCTAACCCCTTTTTTACCCACCCATCCCACCCCGGGGAGGACATCCATCACACAGTAATCTCTACAATTTAATCGGCCATCTTGTCGCGAGACTTTGCTGCAATACTCTGAGAGGTGTGTTATCCGAATTCACACTGATGCAAGTACATGAACTACTTGGAAAAAGCCTTGAAAGTATGTAGAGGGATATATAGGGCCGACAAAGATATAAACTGTAACGATAAAATAACAATTCTTGGTCCCGCTCTTGGAAAGATAAAAGTGCAATCCAAAACATTTCTGATCCCTTTGTCACTCTGTACTGAGACACGCAGTCGATAACAAGAGTAGATCTGAGAGGTAGGCGGTTACTTTCTGCACTAACAGTTAATAAAATTTAAGGGGGGGAGTGAGAGATCCGTGAGATTTTTTGGAACTCAAAACAAAAGCCGATTTTAAGATCAAGAGAATGCCGGTTATTTTTTTGCCATTTAGTCAGATCTCAGTTGCCTCTAATGGGGTAAGCTACAACTTCGTTTCCGGCGCTAATAAGCTCTACCTTAAATGTCATATTGATAGATCTGTACTCTTCCTGACAGGAAAAACGAGGCTCTTAAAAAAAAGAGAGAATTACAAAGATAGCTTCTTGTATATCTATACCACTGTTTTAAACCCTGTGCTAAACAAGAGGGGTCTTTGGGACAGTAACGAAATGTATTCGTATAACAGGTGTTTTGCAATTTTACATAAAGTACATCGAATCTCGCCTGAGTTGTCAAAAATTAGAGAATTTCTGTTCATTGCCTGTACTGGAACACGAGTGCGAAGTTTTGCGCAGAGGAGGGCGTCTGTTATTTTACCCGAGTGTTTCTAATAATAACGTTTTGCTGCTAAGCGTGCCACTGCCTGCATGGTTAATCAGTTTCCACCAACCATTACATGTCTGACGTTGTCAAAATGATACACGCGATGTAAATGTAGTGCGAAAAACCATTTCTTCCTCAACGTATGTTCCCAGTGTGAACAAGTGTCTTTTTTTTTCGTAACTAGCAGTTTTTCAGCGTTGCAGTTTGTTTCGTTTAGAACTAAACTGTTTTATATAACTTAGATAGATGGCTGGTTCTGTTGAAGTACAGTCTAAATATATTTTCAAAAGGGAGTTGTGCCGTGAATTTTGGTGAGTCATTTTATTTGTCTTGCTCGATATAGAGGAAAGTGGAGTGTTGTATCGCATGCTTTCTCTTCGCTGCGAAAGAAATTAAAAAACCTCTCATAATTAAATAATACTCATTCCATTTTTTGTAAATAAGTCGGTAGCTGCAACTGGAAGTTAGGAAACCAAGATATTATAATATCTTTGTAGAACTTGTATTGGCTTGAAATTTCTGTTCATTTCACACCACAAATGATTTGGACTAAGTCTTAAGGAAAGCTGTGTTATCAAATATATTCTTTGTGATTAGATCTTCGAAGAGTATAAGCTTCTTTCCATTTGTTTAAAACTGCAGTCTAGAGCTCAAGCACACAGGAAAGGCAAATTAACTTGACCTCTTTCTTGAGCTAATTTTATTACAAAGGAAGTAGCCCTCTGCCATGACATTAAATCAACATCTTGCGCGGAATCAAAGAAAAACATAAAGGATTTTTCATTGACTGAAAACGACAAAAATTTAATGGAGATGCTGAGGATTCGTCACGAATGTGGGATAATTATAAAACAATAGCATTTATGTTCGCTTGCATAAATGTGCATGAGTCATTTGAGCTCGAGCCACTACGCGACGGTTAAAATAACTCTGAGAAGGGCTTAAAACCTGTTTATGTCCGCGACTAACTTTTTGACCAGTAAATAACCTTGGGGTAGTCTAATTTTGTGGTACTTCTGTTTTGGCGTCATTCAGTTGTGTGATTTAAAAGTTTAAATGCATGCAATTTTTTAAGACTCTGAAGCACTACAGTGTGGTTTGTCGGCATGGCTTAACTATTGTTTTTGTTTGCTTTCATCTCTTGACACTATTTATAAACACTGGCAAATTTGATAACTCATGGTTTTGTTCACGTAGCGGTGCTGCCTACATTTTCATGTAATGCCCATTAAACCGTCAGCTACTCACACTGGTAAGTGGCTCCATATGGTCGCTGCCTCTGTAAATACGTATTCAAAGCCGCTTTTTATGTTTTCTCGATGCACGCGCATCACCAGTGTGTTATACCTCCTTAGGTAATTTGGTTATATCAACTTGTGCAATGTGCAACATTAATTGAAGCTCCCCTAAAGGGGCTTTTCAGCCTCAATATAGTAAGGTTGAGATCGGACGTCAGCATTTTATCAGGCGCCTTCGGCAGCCGCTTCAGTCCATGTAGCGATTTCACCTTCCCACCCATCCCACCCCAGGGGAGGACATCCACCACACAGTTATCTCGTGCGTGGGAAATTAACGTCTCCTACCCCAAACCCTTCAAGAGACGGGACCTACGGCTTTACGTCTTATCAGAGAAGACGAAGCAATGTAAGTGAAGCGACTTGCTTAAGGCTACAACGTAGTGCCCCAGCCAGGACTTGAACCCGGGCCGTCCGAGCCAGAGTTCAGCGACGCAGCACCACAGTTTCTTTAGAAACTTTCAGTCTTTAGTCCTTTGTCATACCGTCCAGTTGGCAATCTCGTCTTATTCATGAATGTTCTCCGGTGTCTTAATTTTGTTGAGCGAAATAAGCCATTTGAAAAAGTAACCTTTAATATGACGCCAACTGCTCTGAGAATCGTTCAATGCCATATACATTCTTTAAACGATATATCAACAAAGTTGAA